CACTAATATGGGTGTAATATTGATTTATTTTCACCAATGTAAATATTATTGCATCAGGCAGTGAGCTGTAAAAATGCTTTGCCGTCCATTCTGGTTAGTCACCAGATACATATCTGTATTGGCTTTGTCGACATGTGCAATTGTGTGTATTGATTTTAATTATTATCCAATAGACACACCAATTTATATGTGCAAAATCAAATAAAGGTGGATGAATTGACACAGACAAGTACATTAATACCAGGCTTATATCCAGGTACATGCATCCTCTCATTCTTCTGGTCAATTGCCAAAGGAAATATGAAAGGAAAAGGGAGGGGAGGAAGAGAGACATATAAAAACATACCATTATTGTTACAAGGTGTATTTAATTTATTTCACCTGTTTCAACAGAGCTTCTATTGTTTACGGTATGTGTATGATTAGAGAGAATTCTCCCTATCAGATAGCCACTTTCTACATCTGGATCAAGTCAAGAGAACAAGTTTATACAAACCTTACATGTAGTTCCTTGAGTTCCTTTTAGATATGCTATAGTTCACAATACAATTGTAAGAACTTATTATTTAAGTAATATTGACTGCCTTCTGGGCAATACGACATATATCGCCCGAACCGAAGGTGAGGGTGATATATGACAAGTCGTATTGCCCTGAATTAGGCAGTCAATATTACTATTATTAACCACATCAGACATCTAGAGCAAACAAGAAACTCTTACTATCTTATACTCTTAAATTATGTAGGCTACACAGGGTTTCCTAGCATTAGAAGTTGCAAAAACATTGTCAAACCAGCACTGTTCATCCAGTGTTTGATAGATTTTCGATACACTGCAAACAGTTTGCCTAGGGTGTGATTGTTACGTCACAATGAGAGTTCGCGCAAAGTGCGCATTTTCTTATACACGATGCGCGATGTAAATTACAATAGCTGATGCGCGATGTAAATTACAATAGCTGATGCGCGATGTAAATTACAACTGGCACTATATTATTGCTCACTAGTTTAACACGCATTTTGCCATTGACTTTTCAGAGCGGGCTAAAATATTTGTCCATTGACTTACTGTAGAACCTATATTGCCCGCCAAATTACACACAAATCCCATTGACTGTTCTGAGCGGGCTAAAATATTTGCGCATTGGTTTACTGTATAACCTATATTGCCCGCCAAATTACACACAAAATCCCATTGACTTTTCTGAGCGGACTAACTTATTGTAATTTTGTTGACTTATACATCAAACCTTGAGGGCAATAACATTTAAAAATTGCCCTGCTCAGATGTCTGATACGGTTAATAATCATAAATATCTGGTGAACAAATGAAGAGATTGATTAAGCTAAAAAATTTGTATTTCTCAAAACAGGTAGTCCTGATCCTAAAAATACATGTTTGAAGTAAGAAAACACAATTTCATTTTGGACCCTTTTGGGGACACATTTGGTATGTTTAAAAAAAACAGTGCCATGTATTGTCTTATCATATTGGCTAATGCCGCTAATATGCTGTGAGCAGGAATATTGATCTTACAGCTGTATATTAAAAAGTCTTTGACTTGGCGCAGTCCTTGGGAATACGTAAAGCAGTGAGAAAATCAATAAATGCAACATTTAGGACAGCTCTCATGATCATGATCATGTGCGCACATAAAGCTATAAAAGCACTTCCCTACAAAAATGCTGAAGGTACTGTTCAATGTCTGAAGTCTATCACGCAGTTAGAAAATCACTTGGTTAGCAGATCTATCTAAAATGACTTTGGAATGTACATGTCTCAAAGAATATAAATACTGGTACTAAATGTACACAGATACATTGTACACGTGTAGGTCATTTATTTATTAAATTTTCAAATGCCCTCCGGCTCTCAACAGATGAAATATTATATCAATTATTATATTAGTGAGGTTTTGATTTCACAGTTGTAATAAACCTATGTAATTTTATAGGAAAATAAGTTTAATTACCCCGGTACCTTCTTACAAAATAAAGTACTTGAAAGAAGATTAATGATAAAACCCTTAATATTGCATCATGAAAGGACTGCGTGTGCACGACAGCAGAGTGAAAATATTAATAGTACTTTTCAGAAAAGAACAGGTCTCTGCACTGAATGCACTCTCGGTTTAAATGTTGTATCAATGTAAGCATAAAATGAAAATGGGAAATTTTGAACTTGGCAATCATTTATTTTTCTGTCGTGTAGTGGGTTTTATTGCTGGAAAAATAATTAACAATCTAATGGATTCAAGGATTAACAATTTGATGAAAGATAAGCTGTGTAACCACAACAACCAGACCCATACGTCATGATTAATCTCTTATGTGGCTAATATGGTTTGAGATTCAACTTGATTGAAATCTGCTCAAATTTTTCATTTGAGATCGTGTTTCTTACATGTAGGATGGGAAGAGAGAGAGAGAGAGAGAGAGACAGGAAGGGGAAAAAAAGGGGGGGGGGGGTGAGGATTTATGCTAACTAGCAGTCATGATATTTTTCTCTTTGTGGTAAACCACTGAAAGTTTCATAAAATCCTTATGGCATTTATAAACAATGATTTTGTGTGTTATTTGCTTTGAATCTATGCCAAATTCCTGAACTTCAAGGTATATTTGTTATCTAGACCCCGTTCTCACTCACTTTGAAAGTGGTCTTAGTTAGACCGCTCCAGACCGCTCCAGAGGAACGGGTCTTGAGGAACGGTTTGCGAGCGTTCACACTCCGAGCAGTTTTTATGGCTCAAACCGCTCCACGAGTCAAAGTGGTCTTGTTGCTATGGCAGCTCAGGTAGGCGGGTCAATTTTTTCGCGCGCGGAATCCAAACCTTAGTCACCTGATGTCCCGTTCGCGACGCGTCCCGTATACATGTATATGTGTAGTGCCTGTCCGATCGCTCATCGCGCGGAACGTCACTTCCGTTCAAAGTACGCTTTCCGTTCACATTGCACGTTAGAGCGCTCTGGAGCGCTCTTAATAAGACCCGCTCCTCAAGACCACCTCGGAAGGTGGACTTCTGAGCTTATCTTTCATCAAATTGTTAATCCTTGAATCCATTAGATTGTTAATTATTTTTCCAGCAATAAAACCCACTGCACGACAGAAGGTGGACCACTTTGAGCGTTCTCACTCACCTACATGTAAGAACCGCTCCTGAGGAGCGGGTCTTAGTTAGAGCGCTCCAGAGCGCTCCAACGAAGTGAGTGAGAACAGGGTCCTAGACAAGGCTGGATGGTTTGAGCAGTAATTAAAGTGATTGATTGATCACATTGTTACAGACCTCAGGCTATATTAAAAATGCAATGCATAATTGTGAATTCTAGTATTAGTTTTCTTGAACCACAACAATGATCATGAACCCATCGGAGATGATTTGGTTTCTTTCAGCCTGAATTTCCAATTGATTTTATCTCAAGGCATCTCAGGCTTAGTATTAGAAGGGAAATTCAACCTTGATGGCAAACAAGTCTAAAAGTCTCTGCAGATAAATCGGAGAAACAGACTGGTGAAAGTTGGAATGAAATCAGATCAAAAAAAGAAGAAAGTTATGAATATTTAAAAGTTGTAATCACTATAATGTAAAGGAACTTTAAATTGACTGAATCAGTATTGTCACTGTGATTTAGTGCCGGACAACTTTGAACTTTCCATTTGTTCCAACACACAAAATGACTGGAAAGAAGTGTACTTCAATTGAAATTTAATGATGGCTGTAATTCTCTTTCTGGAAATCATGTAGTAGTATTACACACCATTATAATATTAGTCAATGCTATTTATGAGTATCCGGTATGTCATTATAATCTCTGATGATGTATGATAGAAATGATACCTTTCTTTGCAATTTGAAATATCAGAAGGTTTTGCCTTTATTCTCCTGTTTATATCTGAAAGTATGTAGTTAGCAAGTTCAGTATAAGTAGATTGCAGGATATTGCAGCAATCCATGTCAACTTGAGTTGAATTGATATATTGTTTGTTCACCTACATGTACTTTAGATATAGTGAGACTAGAAATCCTGAGCTCCCTGTAAATCAATACATATTTATTACTTCCGAGAGTAATTCCTTAGCATAGCTACAGTACAGGTTTAGATCTCTTTACCATTCATTACACACATGTACATTTGTAAACAAGTTATTCATTTTTTTTTTGGTGTTTCTAGGAAGTATTTCCGTAGTCAGTCTCGATCTCTCTGTATCTTTATGAAAATAAAAAAGCCCATGGAAAATGTTCAACTCTCATTCAGTAGATTCCCTTTCTTCTAATATATCCAGACTCTGTCTCTTTAAGTGCTTCTACATGTTTGTTGTAATTTTTTTTTTTTTTTTTTTTTAATTTATGGATCGTATTATTTTATTCCTTGTTAGGGAAAGTCATGCTATGATATTGATTTGTTTTCTATTTTCTTATCTATATTAAATACTAAAATGTTTTGTGAGGTGTTTTTGCAAGGAGTATGATATTCTATGATGTGTGAAGTATCCTAGATTCTAAATTGCATTAACAACTATGTGTGAGTGACTTTGATATTACTAAATTCACCCAACAACTAATCCTCTATATCTAATGTCTTTGCATTTGTCAAGTCTTGCATGTAAATGTCTGTGGAGCAAACAGCTTTCTTTATTTGTTAATAAATAGGCTATGTTAGGTTTACATTATATGAAAATTGATTTTGATATGTGTAATGAGTGTAGAGTGAAAGTCATGATATTGAAACGTGACTGATTGGTGATATATTGGTCTTCTTAAACCTTTTGATAGTGTATGCTCTCTTTGTGCTCTATATTTCTTTTATCCTAAATTATATGCTTTTCATTCTTCTTTCAGATAATGTATGATAATGCCCGAATATAATTGCACTAAGTCAGATCTGTTTGTCATGATTGTTTTGTTTTGTGTGGAACAGTTCAATATAAAGGTGCAAAGCATATGAATTTTAATGATTTTTTAGATGACATAACTGATAACATGACACTGTTCTGCCTACAGACACGGAACCAGGTGTGCAGGAGAAGTAGCAGCTCAAGCAAACAACAGCATCTGCAGTGTGGGGGTGGCATATAATGCTGGTATTGGAGGTAAGTCAATCAATGGTGGAGAACTACTTCACAGAGACCTCCATGGTTCTTTCTCTCCCTCATCATTCCTTTGAACCCAAAGCCCCCAAACAAGCTTAAGCCCCCCTCCCCCTTCCTATTGAGATTGGTTATTCGTTGATAATAGGAAGAGACCAGTGAAAGACCAGTGAAAGAAAAAAGTTGGTGTGAGCAATTCACCTCTGGAAAGCTTCAATGAATGAATTGGAAGACTGAATATGAGTTCTGTTAAAAAAGGTGCGATGTGTCATTCATGAAAGAAAATGAAACATTAGAATAAAGGTGGAAATAGAGAAGAACATGAAGTTAAACATTAAGCTTGATTAAGAAAACAAAAAAAAAAACGGTTGAAAAAGGAAGACAAATAAGAGGGAATAATAATAATAATAATAATAACAGTATTTATAAAGCGCAACAATAACAAATAATAATTATAATTTCATCAACAGGAAATACAAAGAGATGATTTCATTAGGTGGTGTCACACAGAAAAATCCCGACCCATCTTGAATAAACCAGATTTTAGATATCTAGTTTTTTCATTTGAGTCGGTGACAGACAGGCTACGAATAATCCGGATAACTAAAATCCGGATATTTGATGGGCCATTGCGCATGCGCCGTTTAGGTAGATACGCATTGTGACATTACACGTTCAATCGAAAGTATGCACCGTTTAGGTAGATAAGCATTGTGACATCACACGTTTAAATGCGCGCATTTAAACGTGTGATGTCACAATGCTTATTAAAAGGGATTATTTCAACATTGGTGTCAGACAAAAAAATCCCTTCAAAAAACCCTTGAAAAATTCTTTCAAGAGAGAATTATCTTGCTTCATATGAGGTTTTTAGAAGGGATTTTTGAAGGGATTTTTGAAGGGATAATTGATGTCAGACAGCCAAAAAGAGGATAATTAAAAACCGGATAACTAAAATCCGGATTTTTGGCCTCTGTGTGACACCGCCTATTGAGTCATACAATAACCATATCCTGCTCCAATTCTAAGAAAACTCACTGTATATACATGTCTGTATGTATATAATGTGGTCAGTTTATTTTTGTGGGAAGAAATTCCAAAGAAATATGTAGGGTTACAGATTAGAAGGAAGAAGACAAAGGAGATTTAGTATGGCTCTTGAGATAGGTGTCATGGTATTTCAGGATGTTAGAATATGTCTTACACATACATGTTTGTCTCTCGAGGAAGTCTGAGAACTACATTGGTCACACTAGAAATCGTGATAGATATGGTACATACATGTACACGTAGATTGTCGTTTTTATAGAGAAATGATTAAAAATGATGATCATAGATATTGTACTTGTACAATGAACAATGAGATATATGATTGAAAGCCAGCTGGCAGATATAAGGATATTTAATATTTACTGTTTGTCTCACCAATCCCAATCCACTAGCAGTAATATTGATTTGTCTGGTAATGATTTAGGACCATCTGAGGTTCTGACCACTCTACCTATCCATATTGTTTTGAGCAAGAACTGGCACAATTTTTGATACTTAATTACTTAATTATATTCAGATTGTGGAAATTCTGGAAACTTTGGATTTATAAGTTAGTTGACGGATTGCTGTCCTAACGATGTACCATTAAAACAAATTTGTAGCACATGTGACCGTGCACCACAAAACTACCATTAAGTTTAGTTAAGGGTTGATTACGAAAGTGAAGATTCTCAGCCTTAAACTGATTTATTTCTCATCACTATTGGAAGTCCCAAACTCAAATAAAACAAAGAGAAGAATGTCCAGTCACATGGAATGTTTTTGGAAAAAATGGTCTGTAGTCTAAGTACTCTGGCTCCTTGTGCAAGGTGAAAAAAGAAGGATTAAAACTCTATTGAAATTTCTGTGAAGTGATAATCAGATTCTCCTAAAACTTGGCACACTAATTCAGCACATCTTGTTCTCTATTTCTTCAAGGATCAAATGTAAAAGCTTATTCTGTTTTAAAGTAATTGGATATGTAAATAAATAAAATCTGCTACAAAAAAAGTCAAAATACTTTAAAAATACCACTTTTGAATTGTTTTGTGCTTCCAAATTTTGAAATTACTCTTTCAGGAAATGCTTAAGACTTAAATGTTACCATCCTGATCAAATACATGTATCGTTCCTTAGTTCTGTCAATTTTAGTAGATAATGTTATGTATCACTTCCTTACATTATATACTCCCTAAGGCTAGAAGTTAACACTTCTGAAGTCTTACGTCATCTAACAAAACTGACGTCTAACGTCTCCTAACGCCTACACACGTTAGATATATAAGTAACGTATTGCAAACGTTACAATCGTTAGGGGGTTAGTTTGTTTTGACTCGTACTGTACACTTTTATTGAGCTCAAATTGAGAACAACACTACAGGTATGCGACTTTTGGGTGTTTTTTTGTTGCGGGGTCACATGTATTGCCTGTTATGTTTTACCAGTAGGCCATGAATTTTTACTAATTACATTTAATGACTCTGGCTATCAGGAGGTGATTATAAATTCCCTTTATTTATAAAACACATGTCGAGTGAGAGTAACCTTCATTGTATTATAAAGGTATATTTCTCTGTAATGATGCATCATTGATTGTACAGTAATGATAACTAATAGTACCTACAGTACATGTATGGTATATGAGTTGGAGTGTTCTCTTTTTCAAACCATGACGTACATCTGTCTCAAGAACATTGAAAACATAGATCATGTGAACGAGAATGAATTTATGATGAACTACATGTAGGTAGAAGCATCAATCTGTAACCCCTACCCTAACCCATTTGTCAGATGTCAAACCCTGATAGCTCCTGATAGCTCGTGATAGCTCCTTAAAGAGATAATCAGGATGAGAAGACACAATGAATAATTCAGTCATTAAGAGTGAGTGGCCTTCTAGGGTCCCATAATAAATTGCCTATCTGCTGGGAGTGCTAGTGATCATTTAGGCCCACATCGTAGCTTAAACTACAAATCTATCACAAGCCAATTAATATACATGTTTAAAATGAAACAGGTTTCTTTTCCTGCATATTTGTCAATTTGCCTTGCCTTTTACCCTTTTCAGTACAACATGTGTGCTTAGTTAGTGGTAGGCCTTTTCATATACTCTGTTTGGGTATAGACAGTATATTTAATAAATTGCAGCCATGCTGTAGGCTAGTATTATCTTTCTCATACCATATCGTCCTTGTTTTCACGAAGTGACGGTAGTGAGGAAAATCGTAACGCAAAGTGAATGCAATTTTTTTTCACTACCGTCACTTCGTGAAAACAGCGACGATATGTCCCCCTTCTGATGTGAGTGTATACCTGTACATTTACATTTCTTATATATGTTGCTTCTGCATGTAGCCAATTGCCCTTCATAACTAGGGAAACCATGTTCCTGGAGTGCTTGAAAGCATCTTCAATTTCCTACACTTGACATTAGTCCATACTGTTTTATTTGCTTACTTTGTTTTTATTTCCTCACATAAAGACTTTAATACGCTCCTACATAAGACTAACGAAGAGTTAGGCAAAGTTGACTGGTTTGATTCCAATAAGTTAGTAATTAATCATGACAAAACATGTATTTTGTATTACTCTAAACCTAATATTAAGTTTCCTCCTCATACAATCAAAGTGAAAATTAATGATATATACTTGAATGTTTCTGACTCCGTGAAATTCCTTGGAGTTTTATTGGACAATCAACTTACTTTTCAAAACCATCGTATGTACATACTAAAAAAGATCTCTAAAAATATCGGAATTATCTGTAAATTGCGTTCTATTCTACCCAAAAAACATTTATTCATGCTATATAATTCACTTATACTTCCTTTTATACATTATTGTAACATTACCTGGGCCAACGTTGGGAAAAGCAAATTAGAACCATTTCATAAACTGCAGAAAAAAGCCTTACGCATTTGTACAAAGTCACCTTATTTAGCACCATCTCGCCCCCTCTTTTTTGAATTAAAAACACTTAACATTTATCATATATATGAATTTAAAGTCGCAGTACTGATGTATTATGTCAAACATAAAATGGCCCCAGCCAATATAATTAATTTGTTTAACTTTAATAATGATTTTCATCAGTATTACACATGTTCAGCTTCCCAATTTCACCTTCCATTAACTTCTAATAAGCAAATGTATTATTCTTTTAAACATGTAGGACCAAAGATTTTTAATAATTTAAATATAATCATTCGTCCATGTTCAACAGCCTCCTCCTTCAAACCCAAAAAACATTTATTCATGCTATATAATTCACTTATACTTCCTTTTATACATTATTGTAACATTACCTGGGCCAACGTTGGGAAAAGCAAAAGTCACTTTATTCGTAAATATACTTCTTGATTTCCATATATCTTTTTCATAAGTTTACCTCATATATGTACACTGTACATGTAATCCCTCTTTCTCCTTCCCTTCTCTTGGGTGAGTATGTGTGTGTGCGTGTGTGTGTGTGTGTGTGTTGGATGTGTCCGCTTTTTTTTATTTATTTATTTATTTGTTTTATTTAGACAGGGTAACTCTCTCAGTATAAATACTGTTTTTCTGAGAGGCCCTGTACACAAAAAATGGTTACAAATACATGAAATAACAAACAGTGTTAAAAGACGTCTACATGATTTTATATATATCAGGGTTATTTGTTTGTTTTGTTTATAAATATATAACCCGATAATATACAACAAAGCAATATTTGTCCAGCTGATACAATATGAGTTTATGCTTATCCTATCAAATAGATCAACAATAATATAAGCATATACACATCAGGAATAAACTTTTACATACAAGGGAAAGGACAAATTTTCATGAGAGTGGAATACATTAATAGGAGCCAGTCTCACTAATTTTTGACACTTAGTACCAAAAAATGAAATAAAAATAATCACAAACGCAATGTTCTCCAATATAGATTTGCAATTGAATGTTTTGATTGGGCCTGTCTAACACAAAAAGGGAGTTGGTTCCACAATGCTGCGCCTTCATGAGAAAAAGCTAGTTTACCCATCTTTGTTCGTGACAGAGGTAATGCTAGTCCAAAATTGGTTGCATTCCGGGTGTTGTGATTGTGGAGAGTCTGGGATCTTATAAGTATGTTCGACAGGTAAGAAGAGCCAAAGTTATTCAGTAGATGATACATCATTTTGCATTTATGAAACGTCCACCTCTTTTCTACCGATACCCAGTGAAGTCGACGGAAGACTTGAACAGTGGGTGTGAGTTGATGTGCCCCAAGAATAATTCTGGCCATCCTTTTGTGTTGGTTTATGAATATGACTTTTGTATTGTGTGGACAGTTTGACCAAGCAGTGGAGCAGTAATCAAACAGAGGCATTACCAATGAGTTTGCAAGTAGCTCCAAACTGTCTAGAGGCGATCTTTTAGCGCGACTTAGAAGTGCAATCCTTGATGCAATCTTCTTGCTTGTATGTCTTACATGTTCTTTCCAACTTAAAGTTGGGTCTAACCAGACACCCAAATATTTGTAGGTGTCTACTTGAGAAAGTAGTTCATTGTCTAAAAATAATTTGATTGGTTGTGAGAGAGTAGCTAGTTTATGTGATGATCCAAAGAGCATGAACTGTGTTTTAACCGGATTTATAGCTAAATTGTTTGTCTGCACTCAGGCTTGTATCTTCTTGAGTTCTGAGTTTAGGATACTCTCAATTTCTAGCGGGCTTCTGCTACTGTAGAAATAATTGCATCATCGGCATAAAGCATGATTTGAGATTTAGTCATAACATGTGGGAGATCGTTGACCATGATAGTAAAAAGAAGGGGGCCTAAGATAGATCCTTGAGGGACCCCTGATTTTACTTGGCCCCATTCAGATTTATTTTCCCCTATGACAGTTCTTTGCCTTTGATTCATCAGATAATCCTCAAATCAAGCCAGTTAAACATTTTTTACACCATAGTATTTTAATTTGCCAAGCAATATTTTATGATTTACAGAGTCAAACGCTTTGCGAAAATCTATAAAGATCACACCGGCAAGGCATCCTCCATGCCAAATAAAATTGATTCCCAGTCTTGTCTGGATCTTTTGAAAATAAGGAGGAGCTTATTTTTTAGTTGGTATCTGATATTTCTCCTTGCACATACTGAATTGATATTGTTCACTTATATAACAATATAAATCTATGATTTAATTGATCAGTGAATGAATGTAGATTTTTTTCAAAGTTACTGTCCAGATTAACATTCTCTTCTACTTTTTGTTTTTTGTTTCTATTCTGTCAGGTGTTCGTATGTTAGATGGTGATGTGACGGATGCTGTTGAAGCACAGTCTTTGAGTCTGAATCCTCAGATCATTGATATCTACAGTGCTTCTTGGGGTCCTGATGATGATGGGCAGACTGTCGATGGTCCGGGAAAACTGGCTAAGATTGCTTTCCTTAATGGAACAACACTGGTAGGTATACACGGGTTGATGTTTGGCTGCTCAAAGCCAGGAGAGCATGCACTTGTATCCTCTATTAACCCACTCAATACAATTTAATTTGGGTGCAATACACTCTTATTTAAACATTCTGTGGGTTGAAACAAACTTTGTGCTCTCAAAAGACTGTATATCCTTGATGCCAACAGCCAACTTACAATTTTTCTTGTTGCCCCTGTTGAAATGTCAAAAAATGATATTAACTTCTCTGAGAACTAAGTTTGGGAGTTTATTTTTGGGCCTGCAGGGTTTATTTTAGTTATTGTATGACCTGCAGCTTGAATTCCTACTTCAGAATTCATGAAATTGAAGCCAAACTTCTTGGCACTAGGATGCAGGCTTGCTCTCAAACCGGGACTTTCCCTTTCCAGGACCAATGCTTGATCTAATGACCTTCTGAGAAACCTTTTGATTTATGATTGCAGAGTTTCAAGGTTTGTTGATCTCTGCTTTGTTCCTGCTACAGGAACTTGGCTACGTAAATGTAGTTAAAAATGAACTTTGGATGTTTGAAGGAAGTCACTCCAGTTGGCCTCCTTTCCCTCCCTCTCATCCTGTAATCCAATGGATAGGTTAAATCTATTTGATCTTTAACCCTTTGAGAGCGAGCCCACGCACGGCAATTGCTTCCCCTGTGACGGAGCGATTTCGGTTACATTGCCAGTAATGGGAAATTTGGCGGTGCTTTCTACTTTCATTGCTCATTGCGCCTCATTCAGTCATTTTCGTGAGTTTTAGTGAATGTAAAAATGAAAGATCAGACTTTTTCCTTTCTAAAAATATAAGTTTTGTTTCTCAATACGAAAAATAAGGTCCGTTATTTTTTAAGGGAAATTGCCGTCTTATTTTGCTAAAGCTTCACGTCTTTCCTTTTCAATACACTCACAATACAAATTGCGTAAGCACCGCCGCACGCGCAGATCGGTCGATACCTCCATTCATTTCCCCATTGTCAATGATTGTCGTCTGCTAAAGCTCGGTCGATTATCAACCGAGCCGTTAGGCCTAAGCCTTCGTTTTACATGGGTTTTCGACACATTTTGTAACTATATTCTGACCAACATTATGCCATGATCAACACTGAATACCCTTTCCTTTAAATGTGCAAATAAAATATAGGACTATTTGGGAAATAGATTTTGAGTTGAACATTGTTTTATCCTCGAAAAAGAAAACAATATTTACTTTGAATGCTTTCGACTTCGTTTCTCATAATTTGAAATATTCATTTTGTTTTAGTTTTTGCCTCCCGCTTAATTTTGTTAATTTTTTCCAAATCTATACATCTCTTAGAACCCTATTTTGAGATGAGGTTGCTTTATCAATAAAATATTAATTTAATTTGTGTACGCATACTTGATTTTTTTTGTTTGTAATGGAAAGAGCTAAATCAATGACAGAGATTAGAACAAAATCATAATTCATCACAACCATATCTCTCTCTCTCTCTCTCTTTCTATCTATTTATCTATTTGTCTCTATAGAGACAAGACAAGAGTGATATTCCATGGGGAGAGAGAGGAAAAGTTAGGGGCCGTTTTTCAGAACATAACATTTGAACATTTCATATGCCCGCTCAAACCAAAACCGGCTTTAGGTTGATCAAGATATTTTACTCAAACCTGCTCTAAAATGGTTACATGCCCTCGTAAAGGTATAAAGTTAGAGTGGTTGTTTGTATTGTCATGTAGATTGACCTATTGACCTACGTTTAGGCCTACATCCTCTTCTTTCAAAACGGCAATCTTCCAGAGTAGTTACTTCTTTATATTCTTTTGTTCCTCTTAGAGAGAGGGATAAGCCTTTCATAAAAGAGGTCCATACATGAATGATTCGCTAAATTGGTCAAGTTTATGAAATGAAAAGCGTATTGTCATGTAAATACACTATATCGATAAGGCTTAGATTAGTATATGATGAAAAAATGCCACACCGGTAGGTAGATAAATATAAATAAGTAATCAGGGTTGAAATCGAACTGATAATACGACCCGTAATAAGAATATGGGTGCATGGAACTTGGAAGTAGCGTCAAGCAAGAATCCTGGCAAGAATATAGAACGGACGTGCGCGTACGTGTCCGTCTCCAGCTGTACGGGTATTTCGGGGCCTTTTTTCGATCCGAACACTAATTTAGAGTAAAGTTGAATTGATATCACTTTTTCTCGATTTTTTTCTACGTAACTATATTATTTTTTTAATAGATGAGATGAATGAAAATATATAGATAATACTTAAAAGAACTTTAGCACATAATAGCTAATAATAAGCTGGAAAACTTTGTCAACATAGTAGGGATATATCTCGGCTTCTGTAGAAGCCCGTCGTCTCCAAAGTGTTAAAAGGGATTATACTCTCCCTCTCCCTCTTCCTCAAATAATAAATCACTTACCGTATTTGCCGGCGATAAATCCGCAGTATTTTTGGAAGAAAAAATATCAAAAAGTCGGGGTGCGGCCTGTACGTTACAACAACAAAATTCAGCGGTCAAAACATCACGTCCATTTGCACATATGGGACTATGAACGGTAGGATGGCTAGACAACGGTACAGGACAATTCTAGAATAACTCCACACAACTTACTGACAATTTTATATTGCATAGTTGACATTTTTAAATAAAATCTGCCGATAGATCTAGATTTAAGTCCGTACCATTGCATCGCCAAAAAGTTTAAAAAAAGGACAGGCCGTTACTAACAGAGCTAGCTGCCGTGCAACGCAACTGCGCAGGTCGAAAAACGCTTTTCCGGATTACACCTCACATCGAGATAGGGGTATTGTAGGATACCAAATCTGTGTGCGATACTGTACTAGCTTAAAAGTCGATAAAGATCTGCTCTTTTTTTTCCCTTTTTTTCTTCATTTTTTTTTTTCCTCTATGAAATGTCAAAGTTGGGGGTGCGGCCTATGCGGCACTGCGGCCTTATTGCCGGCAAATACGGTATGTTTTGCATCCTTTTTAATTAGATTATGTACAATAATACAAAGCCTATGAAATAACCAACAATTTTGAATTTTTGTCCTCAGCATTAAATGTACTTCTTTATTTAACCAAAATACAATTTTAGTGTGGTAGTCAAGAAGGTAAAAAGGACCACTGATACTCAATAGAAATCCCCTTTGCCAGAAAGGATGTTTATAAATACTCATTTTCCCAGAGAACTGGACGAGCATGGAACGCCCTCGACCAGCAGTCTGTAATAGCCACATCTGTTGAGAACTTTAGAAACACACTTTAACATGCATCACCTGCCATACAAGTTAGGGACATGTGGAATACTGCCCTGCTGACTCCAAATTCAGAAGGTTCAGAAGGATCTTTTGTATGCAGCTATTTTTATTTTCAAATGGATGAATGGATTGCTTGTGGACCATGAAGATACATCTAGGAGAAAATAATTGACCAAACATAATAACTTGACTGCATTGTCTGTAAAAAGCTATGTTGAATACAGGTCTGGAATTAGTTGCCCAAATTTTCATGATTTCCTTTTTTCAAACTATGAAATGCATGTACATATGTGGAGTCTCTGCCTTGATTTGAATGCATTGTGTATTACTCTGTGCTTCAAAATGTAAAAAAGAGGTAAAAAACAAACAAAAAAACAAACACACATGAAAAATAAAATAATTAAAAGCTTCATATGTGTACATGTACATGTAGCCATTAAATAGAAGTCCAGATTTTGAGCACTCAATGTTTGAGCATACCAGCAGATTGGTCGTAAGGTTAACGTAATCATAATGTAAATCCATTTATCAAATCTACCACTATACATATGGATATATGCATTAATCAAAGCTAAAGGCTACCATCATTTTGAATTCATATTCTTATTTTCAGTTACGTGGGAATATTACTTTCAACTTGAAATGCATAATCAGAATTGCCTATAGTAAAACAAACTTCCCGTAGATTAGGTTATTTCTGTATACAATTATGTGTGCACATTTCTCATTGAGAGTATTGATGCATAATCAGTGAATAGAGCATTAGGTTTTGACAGATTGTGAACATTTATTCAATCTAAAATCATTGATTTCCCATTAGCTTACTTTTAATATTCATATAAGAATAAAAGTAAAGTCATTAATGGTAGAAGGTATAAATCACATTTTGCTTGAGCTGTGAAGGAAGGAATTATTTGAAATTATACTTTTTGAGGCGTTCTAGTTTTGAAATGGATTGAAATAGATTCTTTGCCTTATCAGCACTGCCATTACTCATGTATATGCATATATACATGTTCCTTTTTTGTTGAGATCTTCAAATTTGTGAAACTTCAACATAAAGGACAATGAGAGGCATAACATTTGTGTGACGGTGTGAACTTTTACTTGACTGTACAGCTGTATACAGTTTAGGCCAGTTAAAGTAATGTCCTTATCCATATAGACTGCAGTATATTACATAGTATACATACTAAGTTACTCAATTCATATCGGATGGGCAGGGTATATTGATTATCTAGGGTGTCACATACACATACATAAAGTAAACTTGCCAAATAAAGATGTGTTGCAATATTAGTACATTCTACAGTCATGGATGCCAATGCTGTGATAGTTAAAAACTCAATTTCTGTAGTACAAGTTATTGAAGTTAATGCTTAGTATTTCAGGTTAGGGCGGTGACTGTGATGCTCCATATTTTTGCTACCATGCACTTATACTAATCAAAAGATGAACTTGAAATTGAATTACACATGAAGTGATTACTTCCCTAACTGGGTCATTCTATAATGTTGGGGCAGAAAATATGACGGTGTCCATGTAACGTACATGTACATGTAAGTGAGATCTTCTATTACAAATGGAAGGTGACAGTATTTGTTGAAGATTTGTATGCAATGAATATATATGGTAGTAGTGCTCAGCCAGAATCGTTCCTGTTTCAGTTGCTTCTGTTGCTTTTCTTCAAAGTCTTTGGGTAATACACATTTCTCTTTTTACCATCGTTACATGGACACCATATTCATACAACATTACCTAAATAATATTGATTCACTATGAAGCTTGAGTACTTCTGAAGATAGTTGGGTATGCTTTTTATGCAAAACTCAATTTGAACAAAAATAGTTACAGTTGATAGGAGACATAGATTCTCACTTCTGATATGTCATAAAAATGGCCCCAACTTTCTGGACGGACCCAACTACAGTTTAGTATTAAATCAAATGTATACAACTGTTCCTGTTCAGCATAATTAAACATTATAATTGATTGTCTTTGTTGATTTTGGATTTAAAAGTTCCTTTTTCTTTTTCTCACCTTTTTGTGGTTTGTTTTGCAGGGTCGGGATGGTCTTGGCTCTATCTTTGTGTGGGCATCTGGAAATGGTGGTCGCTCTGACGACAGCTGTGGTTGTGATGGCTACACCAACTCCATCTTCACCATCTCAGTGAGCAGTGCTAGTGAGAATGGGGGTGTGCCTTGGTACTCAGAGAACTGTGCTTCTACCCTGGCTACCACCTATAGCAGCGGGAGTGGCACTGAGAAACAAGTGGTAAGTTACCCCCCCCCCTTCACCCTGGCTACCACCTATAGCAGGGGGAGTGGCACTGAGAAACAAGTGGTAAGTTACCCCTTTCCCCCCCCCCCCCTTCACCCTGGCTACCACCTATAGCAGGGGGAGTGGCACTGAGAAACAAGTGGTAAGTTACCCCCTTCCCCTCCCCTTCACCCTGGCTACCATCTATAGCAGGGGGAATGGCACTGAGAAACAAGTGGTAAGTTACCCCCTCCCTCCCCCCCCCCCTTCACCCTGGCTACCACCTATAGCAGCGGGAGTTGCACTGAGAAACAAGTGATAAGTTACCCACTTCCCCCCTCCCCCCTAGTTCTTATATTGTTACCTAGTTCTTATATTGTTACCTTACCTTGTTATCTTATGTTTCATAATTTCACTTCATATTTGTTTTCTTGTCATTACTCTGTTTAGTTTTAATTGTATCAATATTGTAAAGCGCTTTGATATAAATGTCTTATGAAAAGCGCTATATAAGTAAAAGTTATTATTATTATTATTATTAATGTATACTGGTTAGAGGTGGGGTTGTAACTCGGTTTATGGTTTGGGAATGGTAAGGGTTCGATGTAGTGTTGGTTCCAAGGTTGAGGTTAGGAACTCCAGTTAAGTATAACATTTATTCATCTGAACCTACAGTGTCATACATGTATATTCGCTGTTGTGTAGATGTGGGCTAGGGAGTAATGGAAAACAGTCTGCCCCTCAGATAGGATCATAGAGCTCCCATGTAAAGGAAACATGCTGCACTCATTGTTTATAAAGAACCCACTGTGTTCTTTGTAAAGAGTAGGGTTAACCCCAGGGTAGAGGTATACACCTGCACATCCAAATCAATTATACTGGCAGAAGAAATCTAAGGGCCATAAATATTCATTCACTTATATTCACTCTTTTCTGTGTAGGCACAGGTGATGCCAAACATTGTATGCAAAAAGCTTCCTATGTATGTACATGTAACATCAATAATTCATGAAATTCAGAATTCAGCAAATACAGGAGAGTATTGAAGAAAAACAAAGTTATTTGGGGAAAGTAGAGAAAAAATGTACCTGTGCAAAGTCCATCACATAATATATAAATGGATTGGCGGCACAACTGGCTTATACTTGTAGTGTGCTCCTTGTATAAAATCATTCTCAATGGAAAAAAAACAGTATGACAATAAGAATTTGAGGCTTACCGGTACATGTATTTCAACTGCTATAGAATTAGAAATAAAAAATGGTTGGCAGATTCACTTTGTTCTTTGCTGTGACACATCCTGAATGATACTTGCACATTGCACTACTAATAATGTCTCCCCATCTTCTCCTCTTATAGGTGACCACAGACTTGAGAAAGAAGTGCACAGACAGTCACAGTGGAACCTCTGCCTCAGCCCCTCTCGCTGCTGGTATATGTGCCTTAGCTCTTGAAGCAAAGTAAGATATTATATTCTAACTCTATCTTATAGAATTAATGATAAAGATGTTATACCAGACCTTATCCTACTTCCAGTCTTATATTATTGTAATAAGGTGATAACTTAATTAAATTTTCATTAAGAGTGAAAGTGATTTGATTGTGCCTTTACTAACTTTTAAAGGTGTAAAAAAGAATTTTGAAAAATCTTGATTGTTTTTGTGTTTAAAGAGCAATTTGCCTCATCTGTGTTTCTATGCAAAAAGCTTAACCCTATTTTAACTGGGCTATTTCAGACCAGGTTTTTACTGGGGGGGGGGGGGGGGGGGTCAATTTGACGCCCCTGTTACACCCACAAATGTAATAATGCCCACAAATGTAATAACGCCCACAAATGTAATAACACTTTACCCACAAATGTAATAACACCCACAAATGTAATAACACTTTGCCCACAAATGTAATAACACCCACAAATGTAATAACACTTTGCCCACAAATGTAATAACACCCACAAATGTAATAACACTTTGCCCACAAATGCAATAATTTCACCCACAAATGTAATAACACTTTGCCCACAAATGCAATAATTTCACCCACAAATGTAATAACCATTTTACCCACAAACGTAATAATTTTGAATCACCCATAAATGTAATAATGACTTTACCCACAAATGTAATAAATTTGGGGATATTTTGTCGAATTTGTTCAAAACTAAAACCCTGTAATATAGCATGGGTATAGCGCGCAGTCTTTACTCCAGACCCGGTTATTAGTGTCTTGGAGGTAGTGTTTTGGGGGGCAGGGTAGTCGTCATACATGAAATGACATGTAGAAGGCTGCTTACATGAATGTGCTATAGCATTATACCTGTTATAAGATCATGAAGTGGATCGTAATCAATTGATTGGTTGAAAGCGTACACGTGACTAGGCACTTATTTTGCCCGTCGCATAATTTGGATAATGACCGGTCATTAGTAAAATCATGTTATAAAACATCATTTTATAAACAAATAAAACATAATCTTATAAAACAAATAATACACATTATTTTGTTCGGGCATTAGTACCTCGGTACCTTCAAAACAGTCCAAACGCCCTCGGTTATCGTCTCAGGCGTGTAAGACTGTTTCAAAGGTACCTTGTGTGAGTAATTCTTACTAATGCCCTCACTGCTGTGTATTATTTGTATACCAATCACAAAATGAAATAATGTATCTCAAGTGTTGATGTAATGTGTTGATGTAATGTGGTGATGTAATGTAATGCTTCTGAATCTGCTTTCAGCCCTCAGTTGAATTGGCGTGACCTTCAGCATATCATAGTGATGACCTCGCGACCTGATAACATACACACATCTGATTGGACGGTCAATGGAGTGGGACGGAGTGGTAAGTTCAATTATCATTATGCAAGATTGAATGGGTATATCATAGACATGCTTTGAATTATGTATATGTACATTGCTGATATGAAATAGATGATTTTAGATTTATTTGTACTACAGTACATTTAGATATATTCTAACTGTTTTTCTTGGCCCCTATAGTTGTGACCAATCAGAGGCGTATAATCTTGATATACTTTAATTGTTCTGGAATATTATTTTCTTGGCAAGATACCATCACGAATTGTAAAACTTTAGTGATGTGTCAAATGTGATTCAATTATTTTTCGGCTTGAAATTTTCTGCAAACCTGAAACAAGCGCAACATTCGCAAGCACGTTATGCAAGTGAAAGATTGTTGGTTTACTGAACTGTATGTTATGTAATGACTGTCTGCCTTGGTCTGGCTTTCTATTCCCTTTCTAGTGAATCATGATTATCTTTCTATTCCCTTTCTAGCGAGTCATGATTATCTTTCTATTCCCTTTCTAGTGAGTCATGATTATCTTTCTATTCCCTTTCTAGTGAGTCATGATTATCTTTCTATTCCCTTTCTAGTGAGTCATGATTATCTTTCTATTCCTTTCTAGTGAGTCATGATTATCTTTCTATTCCCTTTCTAGTGAGTCATGATTATCTTTCTATTCCCTTTCTAGTGAGTCATGGTTATCTTTCTATTCCCTTTCTAGTGAGTTATGATTATCTTTCTATTCCCTTTCTAGTGAGTCATGATTATGGTTATGGCCTAATGGATGCAGGCGCTATGGTAATGCTAGCAAAGAATTGGACCCACGTTCCTGAGCAACGCCTTTGTACTATCAACTCCCTGAATGGAAATAGCCAGTAAGTACATGGATGGGCATAATAAGAGGGCTACATAGCGACTTAAGGGGTGATAATAATTCATGGGATTAAATCTGTATTCTTTATGATAAATTATCCCCACACCTGGTTACGATATGAGACACTGTATTGAAATAAAAACAGGTCTGATTGCCATTACCATTGGGATAAAGTTCACAAAATTTGCATTAACGAGTGAGAGGAAACAGAACCTCCTAATTAAACACTATTCGACTCATATCACCCTTACATAAAAGTGAGTGTAGCACTACTTCATGAGATGTAAACTACACCCCGGCCATGTGATTGATATGATTTGCACTCTTTATCGGAAGGAGAATTCTCCCAATCCATCTTATACGATTCTCACTCTTTGATGATCAATAATAAAACAATTTTCAAGTACTTTATTGTAATATCAGAAAAAGAGTGGTGAAAATAGCAGTAAAATATTTGAAGGAGAATTGAGAAGATTTAATCATCCATGTATATTTGCACTTTGCACGCAGGTTTTGTTTTCAATTGTTAGTATAATCACTGCTGTTTTTTAATTGAATAGGAAAATCAATGGACATAGTGGACTGGTCGTCCATGCTCAGACTACAGGCTGTCAGGAGACACCAGATACTCATGTGCGCTTCCTGGAGCATGCTGTCTCTCGTATCTCACTAGACTTCCCGATCCGAGGTGATTTGTCCATCGCCTTGATCTCACCTTCAGGTACCAGGTCCTCCTTGCTTCCTCGTAGACCCCATGATAGGAATAAGAAAGGATTCAAATCTTGGGAGTTTATGACGACTCATACATGGGGTGAGAATCCTCAAGGTGAATGGACACTGGAGATTCAAAATCATGGTGCTGCCGGTATGTCAGGTAAGAATCTAATAACTCAAGCTTGAATGTATCAACACCTAGTTAAGACTCCTGACTTACATATACCATCATTTTGAAGACACACTAATTTGTTTCATCACTTTGTGCCTTAGAATTTACAATTGCATTACAAGTGAAATCACATGAGACAGGCCTTTGCTTTTTTTATATTAGTTATTGATTATATCTTTGTTTGTTATCACCTGGACCCTTTTGATATGGCTTGATGAGAATTTCATGTCCATATGATTTTTATTTTTTCCTTGTCAAATTGGATGCATCTTCAAAGGAATGACTTGTAGACTTTGTTTTAGATGATTGTACATGTTGTATCTCATCGTATCATATCAGAAGTAATAAAACAGATGTCTGTGTTTGATTCCTGCAAACTCTTTTTGCACACCCTCTACAGGTGTTCTTCATGACTGGACGCTCCTTCTGTACGGTACCCAACCCCATCCAGTCAAGACCCATGAAGGTCCGATACACTGTGAAGAGGGTCAGTTCCTGGTCTCAAACATCACTGCAGATACGGTCATCCATGAATGCCAGACCTGTCATAATGCCTGTCTGACCTGCTATGGAGCTGACAACGGTCAGTGTGTCCATTGCTCACCAGACCTTGAGAAGGATGGCAGTTATTGCTTGAAAGCATCAGCCAGCTCCTCTCCTCACTTCCATACCAGCTCCTGGTTGGTCATTGGTGGTTGCATCATTATCCTCAGCCTTGCCTTCTTTCTTCTGTTCTGCATCATCTTTGGTTCGCTTCAGGCTGCTGAGCATGGTTACTGTGTGTGTAGTGGTAAAGACTGGATCAGTAGTAGTGACAGTGATGACTTCAACTATAGGCAGCTCATGAAGCTTGAAGATCAGGATGAAGAGGAAGAGGAGACACTACTGTCCGTTCAGAAGAACGCCAAACTGCCACCTTTATGAAGCAAGACATTTCTTTAACAATTTCTCTCCCCTTTGTATAATTTTCAATCCATTTCCATAAGTTACTATTATACTATTGAAATTGAAGATATATTTTCTTATAATGAGAATTACATGTAGTGACATCTGTGTGAATGTTAGTTATTTCATATGTATGGATAGATCTTTACTTTGATGAATACCCCAGCCACATCCCTGGACCAACTCCTAACCAACTGATAAACTATGAAATATCTGCCTTTTGGGGTAATAAGATTTAATGTAAATCTGTTGTCTGCATGGTGTTTGACTTGTTGATGTGATTGGGGTATAATGCTCAAGCATGAATCTTTTGTACTATTTGTGTATCTTTATAAACCTGAATGTATAATCCGCATATTGATTGGAGAGAAGATTTCCTCTAATTTTGTTCTTCTTTGTCACTTGTTCCTATCCTTTTTCTTGAATGCCAGTTGTACTGAGCTTGTAAACTGCAGTTGAAATGTATGTTTTACCAGGAGTGTCTTACTTTGTATTGGTATAACACATCATTAATGAATGTCTTTAATTAATCTTCGTAGTCAGACATAAGTTTTGTTCAGTTCTGTGGGAGATTTTATATCAACATTGTTGCTTCCTTCTGTAAATCTTTTATTAAACATGGAATGTGTTACAATTTGCTCATTCAAGCATCATTATACAACAACGAAACAAATTAGTTCTTAAAACGTGAAACAGCAAATAAACCTGCCGAGGTTCATCATCACCTCAAAACCACCGCAAAGTCATCCCAATTTAGTTTGTATTTTTGTGTATCTTCTGAAAGCAAAGATCTCAAGATGGCATAGATAGATTCACACTTGTATCACCCAACATAGATGGCATGCTACATGCATCCAATGATCTATCAATGATCAATCAATGAGAAAAGAGCTTCATTCTTCATTTGTTTCTTGTTAGAACTGTGACTAAATGGTAATTTGATGCTGTCGGGTCACTTTGTTGGAACACAAATGTAAGCTTGATGCAAAGCCGGGCATGATAGGAAAGTGGTCAGCTTCTGACAAAACCATCATAAGTCTAAGTTAGCCTTAGATATGTTTTCATATGATGTCACCATGTTTGGAGTCTCTTAATGATTTTAAGAGATGTTACCATGTTGCAAGCTCTCCTACAGCTTGTTTATGTCCAGGTATATATATATGTATATAGTAGTATGTTATGATGAAGAAACTGCCTGCCTCAAAACCAATGGATGCTCTCTAAAAAGAGATTTGCTCATGGTGACACCAAATCTGTTTTGCATTTCCATATCTTATTGAAATAAGTAGGAATGTAAAGATCTTGGTATGTTAACATCAAGAGACTGATGTGGAGAGGAATGAATTTATGCAAATTAATATGAAGTCAGAGAGGAATTGAATAGAAAGAATGTCTAATTTAGAAAAATCCTCTTTATGTACATGTTGTTAAAGCATTATAGAATGATTTACAATTTGCTTATTTTGATTGATTGATTGAAAAGTATTTTTCATGTTATATAGCTAGAGATATATTATTTATCCTTTCTGCCTGTGATTTGATATTTCTGAACTGCTATTAAAGAAGTGGTTGATGTAATGAGAGGAAGAGAAATCATGAGGCAAAGAAAAATGAGTAAATTCTTATCAATTCTACAAGTATGTCCTGTGAAACTAGATTTGGGACAAGAATTTGAAGGAAGAAAAAAGAAGATTTGAATATATAGAATGATTTTTAGATAAACGTTCTTATGTAAAGTATACTTCATCAAAAGAGTAGTGTTTGGAGAAAAAAAAGGGGGTTGGGGAGTTTCAAGAAGACACCATTTTTGGTTTGTAAATATTAGAGGTTTACGCAGATGAATAAATATCAAATTTATTTTAGTTACTTTCAATTTTACTTAAACCTCCTAGTGGAGCAGTTTAATTTACAAAAAATAAGTTGTTTATCATATTTTGCATGTACTTATGGAAACTGCTTCCCTCTCTAATTTATTGATGATAAATGAAAAGAAAACAAATAAACACATTCAACTGTAATTAATAAACATCTGTACAGCCATCAGGAAAGAAAGGAATACTTATTAGTAGAAATGGTTTGGCTTATTTTCATTTTAGCATGCTTGTATCAACATGTACCATGGAAACCAGTACTTATTATTAAAAGGATAGTTGGGTTCTTGTTTATAGCTGCAAATGCCTTCAAAGTGCATGTTTATTGCTCTTATACTTATTTATGACATTTCTAGTGCCCTTTTAGGACTTAAAACTGCTATGAAGGCAATTTTAGACCCCAACATGTGTGAAATTCAGATTGAATACATTCCAATTTACTGAGCTCCACTTTACAAATATACGGTGACAGTTAATTTATTCATTCATTCATTAACGATAACAATACATGGGGCCAGCTGCTTGTGCATATTATAACCAACATGAAAAGGCCAACATTGGCCATGGCTTGAATAAAACGTATTAGGTGCTTTCTCGTTTTTTCAAAGGCTAGCTCAAAATTATAGAAAATTTGTGGGGCTCCTCAAATATTAGAAATGGTTATATTTATGGATATTTCAGCCATCTCTGAACCAATTTTGATCAAAGAAAGATAATTTTGTCATTCAAATTGTATGTTCTTTCAAATTTGACACTCAGTTTTTCATTATCTCACCAAAAAAAAAAATGTCATGTAACGCCCTCTGCAGCAAAACTCAACTATCCCTTTAAGTTATTTTTCTACATGTGCGTGTTCTACACTAGATCATCTAAATACTGTATAATGAAACAATGTAAAGATATTCCTTGGTGGAAATGAAAGCATTTCTGTTTTTAAAAAAATCTAAAAACTATCAAGATATATATTTTTGTTTGTTGTTTAAATGGGGGCTGTGTTTGGGCAGTAATTTGAAATTTTTCCCTTGGATGCTATAGAGATTACAAAAGGGCTTCAGATCTCACAATTACTCAAACATAAGCAGTCACAGGCTTGATATATGTGGATCCTTTTATATTATCTATATCTAAGAAAGCATTTTTAGTTTTGGAATCATTTGTTGTTTTACTAATTACGCCTTAACCTGTATATCTCATATTATATGTGTCCATTGCATCCATGCATTGTACATGTAAAAAGAGCTTTTGACAAGGTGTCATGTTTTAGTATTGCTCTGCATATCTGATGTAGCAGTCCATTGATACAAACCTATGGTCAGTGTGACCAGTCAAAGGCCCATACATTAATGTGTGTTAATTGAAAGATACTGAAGAACAACTGTTGTGAAAGTACACATAGAGCAGAACATTTTGTTAGTAGATATTAAAGCCTACTTTGATTTATTAATTTTCATTTGATTTATCCAATTAAAGTATCAATGATTTTTAATATATTGGTGTATTTCAATTGTTTTCACTGTGGCATATGAAAAAAATTGAAGCATGTAGAATATGGCCTGTTTCATAGAGAAATTCAAAATCAAAGTCATAATGAAATTAAATAATTTTCTGAATAAAGCAAAGTCAAACAAAACACACAAACACCAATTATTGAAGAGCAACAAGATTTAAAGAAAGACCATGCCTCATTTATTTTGATACAATAGCAGTGCAGCGTCAATCAATTAAATATTTGTCAATCTTACTTTACCATAAATAAATACTAACCTTGACCAAGAACTAGATATAATCAGACCTTACACATCCATGTGATATCATAAAAACAATATATACAGAGATAGAGTTCTTGTTCATAATCTAAATTTTTCGTAAAAATTATCATAAACATGTTGAACAAAATGCATGCAATACACATTGGAATGGAATGAGAAAGGAATGTTCAAAAGTCCTTAATTTTCTTATGAATGACAAAACTTTGTTATCAACCTTTCACATGTTCCAGGTCTGTACATAAAAAATGATTATAACAAACACCACTCTCATTTACAAAACTGTGATTTGAAGTTCTGCCTGCCAAGCACTTTATCTATCAAGACTTTATACAAATGTTCGATGGCACATACAAGTCAACAGCACAATTGCCTTAACATTGTATTAATTTAAAAATTGAAACCCATGTATGCACAAAACAAAATTGAATCCACATTATGATTTTTCAGTTATTTTGATTATTTGATCAAATATTTGTTACATTTTTACTTTCTGTACATAAGGTAGGATTTGTAAATGTATCTTACGAAGCTTAGATGGAACATGCAAACGGTTCTAATTTCAGCCTCCTATGATAAAAAGCTAAATATAAGCACACAAATCTGAGTAAAAAAATGGCTACTTACATTTATTGTGTACATATATTGATTGCTACTCTACTATCCTGTACATGTAGCACTGAGACTTCAAACAATTTGTACATAATTGATTATAAACCTACAACATACAAATTAAATACATCATTATCTTTTATATTCTTCTTGAAATAGGTACAATATACACAAAGATTGCACTTGTAAATGAACTTAATTATAAATATTGTGAATTTCATCAAACATCTAACATAATATGAAATTCTTTAAAACATTCTTTCAAATATATAATGCATCACAATTAAGTGCAGCACACCTCGTAGTATAAGAAATGTCAAAGGTCGTTTTCAAATAACAGGTTTTGTATTTATATATTTGTATATATATAATTATATTCATATATATATTTCATTCAGTAGATTTCCTTTTCTTTTTGGTAGGCACACATTTGATGACCCTCATTGCAATAAAACATGTGTAAGTAAATTACAAATGTAAAGTAAAATCTTGGATAAAATAGTATCTTTACACAATATACATGAACACATGTAGGGATGTCTAATGCAATACACTGTGTTAGATTAAGACAAATTTCATGATACAATTAAATAAAAATGTACTCACAAGAATCATAACATGGATAAATGACTAATCAAATTTACGATGCTTATCCCCCTCTCCAGCAAGAAAAAAACAGACATGTAAAACAATAAGAAGTAAATTGCCTGAGAGGGTAGAACTATCTCACACATAGTGTAATGCTGTACAGAGAGGGTAGAACTATCTCACACATAGTGTAATGCTGTACAGAAAATTGCTATAAAAAGATGTAATTGGTGATGGAGTAATTCAGACCAATTTGAGAAAGAGGTATTGGGTTTCTAATTAAGAACTCTGAATTCAACATGATACAAAGTGATGAGAAACAGAAGATTTTTTTAATAATTACGAACTAGGTAAGATAAAATCATTAAATGGATGTTTACATGTAAAGCTGGATCAACTTTGAATGAAATTAAAAGTCACAAACACAAGTTATTTTTATCATGTTGGTAAGCTAGTGTTCACCTTTAAAGACAAACAAAAATAACAACAAATATAGATTAAAAATGTATTTAAGTCTTTAAATGCAGTGTAACTGTGATGGTCTTCTTCAATATAACACATGTATCTACATGTATCTACAAAAGATTATTATGAAACTTGCATATAGATTTATTTGATTAAATTATAAACCAATGAAATTAAACACATTTCAGCAATCTGCACTAAGTTTTCAATTATTCCATTACTCTGGCATGATGAACACCTCTATACATTATTTACATTATTTTGCTTGAGTGTTAATACAGATTGACAATTGATCTTTGCATTACCAACTTTGTAAGGTGAAGGCAAAATTTGATCAATAAACGAAAATAAAACTTAAAGAACATTGAACAGAAAACATAAAAAACATCTAAAGTGGAAGAAGAATGATAAACAAATAACTGAAATGTTTAGGAGACGTGGAGGTATAATTGAGCAATGGAAGGTGAATGGCAAAGGAACAAATATTCCGTAGATAATATTTCAATTCAACTCCTCTATATACAGAACCTATATCAACAAAGGTAGTTCAAAGCTACACCATGATCTAAACTAATAATTTACTATGGGACCTAGCTGTACAGGACCAAAAGAAAGAAAAAAAGGGGGATTTCTTCTTATATTTGGAAATGTACTTGCTAAGCAAACAAGAAAATACACAAAAAAGTGATGTCCTCTGTTTCAGCTCTATAGTGACAATTATTTAATTTTTAAAACCAATTTTCATCAATTTAGCTGCCCATATGTTCATTTGAATTGAATTGAATTGAATATAAATCAGTTGTTTAGAAAACAGTTTACATTTAAACCGTCTTTGTAATCTCAGGAAAGTTGGTATACATAATTTTTCATGTTCCAGGAAGAAAAGGAAATAAGTATCAAATGAATTATTCTCACAACTTATAAAAAAAAAAAAAAAAACAGACAGCATGAAAATGAGAGTAACTCTAATTACACATAATATCTAAAGGTATCAAAATCAAATACTGACAGAAGAATACTGACTGCAAATTATTTACCAGTAGATAAGTACTTTTTTTTGTTTTTTTAGAGAAGAGCTTTAAAAGATAGTTAGCACACAATGCTTGTACATTTCCTATCATACATGTATAACTTTTTGATGAGCTCCTACTTCACGTAATGGCAAATGAAATATGGACATTTCTTGCAGTATCATCTCTTAATTGGACTGAACATTTATAGGTTGATGAATGATAGTGGTGGTGGTTATTTTACCTGACAGCTAAGAAAGCAATAGATGCTTGTTAGTAAAGCAACCAGAAGACCGACGTCTTAAGGTCCTCTCCGAAGGACCTGGTAATGAGGATTAATGCCTTACCAAGGTTATCCTTTTAGATATATGTAAGCGGACCAAGCAAAACATTGGTAACCTCACATCTCATGATCCAACTATGACTATAGATTTTGAAAGAAATAACTGTAGATACTTGTACTGAGAAGTTGTGTTGTTGAGATTAGACAACACCATACAATAAGAGTTATATTAAACCAAAGCAGGTGTAACAATAGGCCTATTGTCTTTTTTACTCCTCCTACATTTCAGCCTGACATTCAAATAGAAGTCACTTGATTTTATTTCAGTTTATCATTATCATTATTATTAATACCACATGAAAAAAGCTGACATATAAATAAAGGCTTAATTGATCAAGTAATCATTTGTAAAACGGCTTTATGTTTTTGAAAGAATGAAATTTGTTTAATGTAATTTGTAATTCACATTTCTTGCATCTCATTAACAGCAGGGTATACAGACATGCAAATATAGCTTTCATAATTTTATCATATTACAAATATATATTTTTTCAAACATAATGTTAAGTGCTGAAACTTCTCTTTCATAATTGTTTTTAATGCATTGTTTGATCATCACTATATTTGAATAATGATCACATGATTTTGTGCAAAGAAGGCTGTAAACAATAATAATACAGTAGATATTTTCATTTAATTCATACAGCTTTTCTCATCTAAGTGGTATATTTAAGATAAATATAATTATCTTGCAATCATGATGCAATTATTTAATTTTTTGAAATATACTGTCCAAAGAGTTTGCAGTATTTATTGAACCATCATTTCGCTCTTGCATGATTTTCCAATTTTAGGTTTCATTACTATCTTAGTAATACGCCAATCAATCCATCCACTGGCTCCACATGGGAATCTAAAGCACTCGTTTGTAAAAATGGACCTAAACAATGACGAAACGTAATGTTACTCTTCAGCTTCCAAATTGATCCTTATTATCCTTGTTCTGCAAATCTTTTATTAGTTCAGGATTGGTTATTAGAATGTTTAATTAGTGAAATCACTACCCCCTTATCCTAATTGCTTAAGTCTGAATCCAACACTACACCTCTTTCCTCCCCCCAGACAGTTTGGGTGAATGTTTTAATGAAAATTCAACCATTGTTGCAACTCGATCTACCTCAGTATTTCTCACCCTTGCTAAACTGTACACAGAATTTTCTGCAAGCTAATTCCTCTTTAAATTCAGCGACTGTACACAAATCTATCTCAACATTTTCTTCCCTGCAGTCAAACCTCACAATATAACTGGTGTTAGCTAGTGAATTCCTCTGAGATTCCAAACTATTGTATACAATGCTGTTCCACCCTGTTCCACCCTACATGTAAACCTCTGACTTTATGCTCCTTTCTTTCTCTGCATGTACCATCAATGCAGCTAAATCCATTCTTCCACAGTCAATTGATTTGGATCTAAATCTATTCTCTCACAGCGTTCTGACACGATTGCAGTTCTAGTTTGGATGTAGATCTATTCTCTCACAGTCAATTGATTTGGATCAAGATCTATTCTCTCACAGTCAATTGATTTGGATCTAGATCTATTCTCTCACAGTCAATTGATTTGGATCTAAATCCATTCTCTCACAGTCAATTGATTTGGATCTAGATCTATTCTCCCACAGTCAATTGATTTGGATCTAGATCTATTCTCCCATAGTCAATTGATTTGGATCTAAATCTATTCTCTCACAATCAATTGACTTGGATCTAAATCTATTCTCTCACAGTGAAGTGATTTGGATCTAAATCTATTCTCTCACAGTCAATTGATTTGGATCTAAATCTATTCTCTCACAGTCAATTGATTTGGATCTAGATCTATTCTCTCACAGTCAATTGATTTGGATCTAGATCTATTCTCCCACAGTCAATTGATTTGGATATAAATCTATTCTCTCACATCGTTCTGACACGATCGCAGTTCTAGTTTGGATCTTGATCTATGCTCTCACAGTCAATTGATTTGGATCTAGATCTATTCTCTTGATCACAGTCAATTGATTTGGATGTTGTTGAAGGTGAGCTCTCATATGCTTTTAGCCATCGTTGTAGACTGTCGTGGTTCATATGCTTTTAGCCATCCTTGTAGACTGTCGTGGTTCAAGTTCCAGAGACAAGGCATACATCTCGTCATCATCCATGATCAAAGACGTGTCCAAGAGGTAGCTTATCACCTAGGAAACATGATGGAATCGTAATATAAATTTATCATCACTCTCTAACAGGATCAGGTTGGGCCAAGATTATGTGCAGTCAAACTTTACTTTAAAACTTAAATCTCTCTGAACTGATTTGCCAGCAACAGATGTTTCTAGGAGAAATTATAAGGAACTAAATAAGGCCGGGTGGAGGATTTTATAATATCTAGTTGCATCAAAGCTGCAATGAGAAAATCTTTGGGTCAAACATAACCATTATGGTATTAATAATCATCATATTAGATGTCACTGGACTCTTAAACAACTTATTATTAAAATATGAATAGGCATTTATACTGTAATGATCTGTTAGATAGTAATGTAAAGATTATCATAGATTATCATATATTGCTACTACCTAAGGCAATAACAGCAAATGAACTAAACCAAGAACAATATCTCAAGAGCAAATAAAATCAATATGACTACAAGAGACATAGACTAAGACAGAAGTTACATTACAATGGCCATTATTACCTTATAAAAGAAAAGTTGGAGCATCAGAAAAAACAAGATCAACAACACTTTCCAACCACGCAAAATATATATTAACAGTATTAACATCCTCACACCTGAACAACCACTTTAAAATAAAGAAGCAGCAATAACAACACAGTACGTGATTGATATCTAAGGTAGATAGAAACATATAACCTACCGCTATGAATTCAACAGTCAAAACAATCTAAATCAAAATAGTCATCTTTCCAACATTAGGAACATTATCAGAGGTAGAATGAACAGCCATAACATTCAAACAACCTAGCCTAATGGTCATGTATACTCCACTGATCACCTTGTTGTATGGACCTTCTGAGAAGCAACAAGACTACTTCTACCACTACTGAGCTAGGCCAATCATGACATGTTCATGAATCTCAACCATCATCAAAATCATAGTAATAGCATGCAGGAACATCCCAAGACCCTCATCCTTTCTGACTGTGTGCAGTGGAAGTTATATAACTTACCCTTTTGTCTGGTTCTATGTTGTAGTTGGTATGCTGGAAATGCCTGATTTCTCGAACCACATGAGCAATCTAAAAATAGAGAAGAACTAAGTGATCAATAATTGTATTCAATATTAATTTATTATGGGATGTAGCTAAACAATGCTATTGCAATGTTTGTTTTTAAGAGATTTTTTAATAAAAATTCTTCTGAATAAAGCTTCACTATCCAGTTATATGTACATTTATCTATAACTTTCTAATAATATATAGTAACTTTATAGCCCACCTTTACAAATATTGAGAAATATTTTTGACATCCACGTTGACCAGTATAAACAATGATTTTTACAGTGGATACACAAGTCATTTTGTGATACATGTATGATATCTACTGTCATAATATTATCTGTTTATAGCTTAAATTAAGGTAAGTGTTTAATAAGCCGAATGGCTCAAAGTTGACTAACCATTCTCATCTTGGAGAAGTTGATCAGTCTATCATCAGTGATGTTTGGAGTGCCATCCTCTATGAAGGCGAGGTCAGTCAGGTAGAAACCAAGGTAGGGCACACAAGGAGGATCAATTCTGAAAGAAACAATCACAAACATTGCATAATGAATAGCAATGTTGACACTTCTTTTGATGGATATCTATAAGAAAGTAAAAGATCAAGATGATTTAACCTTATTGTCTACCTCTAGTTTGAACTTGTATCTAAAAATGTAATAAAATCAACTCATATTTTCTTCATTTTGTTCCAGTTTCTAACCAACTGTTACTTCCAGGATTCTACCTGCCATCTTTCCTAACTGATTCTTTCCTAACTGATTCTTTATTCATAAGTATCTCTATACATGGAACAAATTATGAAGCCTAATACTGGGCTACATTTAACTTCAATCAGAGTACTGATTAATGTGCATTTGCCCTTACAAGTGTTAGTATGTGAAGACATATAGTATGCGCAACAATCCATTTCAACAACAGATTTATTATAAAGATGAATTCCTCTGTCCATTTATCATTTCTTTTTCATTTTTTAAGTATTCATCATTTTGGAACAAAGGTGAAATTCTTTCTCAGCAAACAAATTAATCAAATCCATTAACTTGAACCACATGTGGTAGAACACAGCATGCATGTATTTACCTATGTAAGGCATCTCTCATGTTCTTGAACCTGCCATCTGAAGATACTAACACCTGAAGTTTGTCTAGAAGAGTCTTCGTCTAATGGAAGAGAATAATATATACAATAAGAATGATTTAAATATAATCTAAATGATATTCCCTTTTGATCATTGTTATATTTTCATGGAACCTCTTTCAAATAATAAAAAGTAGGATGCAGCTTATGATTATAACATATTTACAATCAATTTGCATTTTTAGATAATTAAAACATTTTAAATCTAAACTTCTTCTGTTCTTATTCTATACCACGAATTGAGCTCTACATTGATCTAACTACAATTTAGAATAATCATCATCAACTGGCACTGACAATATTTCATAGAGAGAAAGAGAGGGTGAGAAGTGAGAGAAGATATAGAGAAAGAGAGTGATAGAGTTGTAAGGAAGAGGGGATAAAAACAGATAGAAAAAATAAAAAGGAAACACAGAGATCAGGGCAGGTTTATATTCATGTAAATGTATTATACTGACAGAACATCATGTAGTGATGTGATACAACAGACTTACTTGCTTAGGAACCTTTTCCCAGACTTTCTTGAGTCTGTAGACTGAGCTGTTCATGAGGGCTGAAGTGATCTCTAGTACACTGTTGAAGTTATGCATACACCTGCAGATATCAGCAACACCAGCCCATCTCTCTATGGCTAACGCTCTGGCTGCTACAGACTTCTGACGTAAGATTTCAGATGATACCAACTTGCTAACCTAAATAACAAAAGTAAGCACGGACATAATAAACACATTCTTTGACCATCCAGCAATGTACACTATATAGCAGAAATTAGATACAGAAAAGATATGGCCTTATGTCTTTATATTTTATATATAGAGAAAGTTGGTAAAAATTACATTGCATAGGCCTTTAAGCTGTACCTAATGTGCGTTACTGGATCCAATAAAAAGAAACATTACTCTAAAGGCTCTCGACGACTCCACCTAACAACCCCCCCCCCCTCCTCCCTCTCTCCTTCAGTCCCACCACTCCTCTCTCGTGCTCTTAGGGTTAAAAGCCTTTGTGATTGACTTCATCAGATACCCTTACAGTGACCATATGGTAGGAATATTCCCCAGGGTGTAGTAACTATTGTGTGTTCACATTCATGGATCTGATAATAACACCTAGTATGGAAGTCCTATATGAATCCTCATCATAGTTTTGGAATGTTTTTATAATAAAATGTTATCAATAATATTGTTTTTACCTCATTGAATCTCCTAGTGACTGCAAGGATATTTGGCGCCCTCGTTGCTTTACCCTGCTTCATCCAAGCCTGATTAAGAAATTCCCTACAAATCAGAAAAAGTCATTATTACAAAAAAATACATGAATCAATTCACATTATAATCTTGCTTTGAAAATTGCACATTCCAAATTTGGATATTATTAAACACATTATAGCACTTTTGAATTAGATGTGAGTTAAAGGTTGATATCAAAATCCATATATGATGCCATCCTTAAGACTGCTTTTAGGATAGCTCTGTTGCAACATAGCAACAAGTCTTGAGTAAAACATGTATTGTAGTTTATGTTCACTTCATTCATTTATCAAGCCATTATCCTCAGTTAAAAATATATAGTTGGAGTTCCCTAGAGTGTTTACCAATATGGGATAGCCCTGAGTAGTTTATGTTCTAGGTAGCTGAGTTGTTCTGCCAGCTCCAATGCTGACATCCTGTCAAAGGTGTCCTCAGGCAACGGCTGTTCAGGAACCAAGGAGGCGAACTCTGCTTCACCATGTAAACTGATGTTTGCATGATCCTGCATAATTTGCCTGATATAAAGATAATAAAAAATAATCACTGTAAAAGACATAACAGGGATATGAAGAAAAGAACAGAGTGACTTATCTCGTTTTCAGAGTAGAGTTTGCTACAAGAATATTCTATGAATTCTATAAGGGGTTTGAATGACTTATTTACAATTAGTGTAGAGCATATCTTATGCAAAGACATCTTTATTATGATGGCAGCGGTGGGATCGAAAGACCACATAATGGAGGTATAGGACAGATGATCATACGAAAATGACTGAATCAAGAAGTACTTGTGATGATGTTGTAATCCACTTCTGTGCACTCTCGTTATATACTCAATTAACCCATTATTGAAGTATCATAAACTACCTAAATCATTTCTCATGTTGTAGCAGCAACATTATGGTCTCTTGCTATCTTGCACATGGGAATTCTGTCTTGGAAGCAGGGTGTCCATATTCTCGTTATCTGTAGTAGATATACATTATTGAACCTTCAACCAATCTCTTAAGTCTACATAGATGTACCTTGTGAAAGTAGAAGGGAACTGCGTGGAATGAATGCAGATGTACATGAAATAGAATCACCAAATACACAAATTGATACTCTGCAGGTTGATTCTTACTGACTTTTATTATATTTTATTATATATATGTATAAATTCAGGGACATGTCAAGAATCACTTACAATAGTGTGCATACAGTTTCAAGCATAACCGTTATTTCATAGCTGTTGCACATTAGGATGATTGGCATATTGCACTATTTGATCCAATCTGCTGTAATATCTACCTCTGAATGGTGCTAGCTGCTCTGTGTTCTGATGGGAGAAGGTTGGGATTGGTTGCTACTTCTTCCAAGAATTCTAAAACCCGATTGCGTAGGCCTTCATTGATTTCAAAATTCTGGCAGGAAAAAAAATTGTTTGTGGGAAAGATTAATGAATACATTATTTTCACCAAATCGTGTTTATCCTGATAATACAATGCATTACTTTTTGATGACGAAGTGGTGATATACAGATTTGTCCAACAATATATCAAGTTTTAGGAGGTCGACAGGTTGTAGGGCATAAATGATAGATGTATTTTTAATTCCACAGAGAAAGTTTATTTCAATTCAAAGTTCTACATGCGCACGGAATGAATAACAGTTTGATATTTTCAAATTAGCATCAGAAAAAAATAAACGAGGACTAATACCATGAAGTTCAGATCAATATCTAGAGAAATGCATTATATACCAGTAGTTTCTCTATGATACATACCTTAGAGAACTTAGAGACCCAATGTCTGATGACATTGATAACTCTGACGGTAGCAGCTGAACTGATGACTTCTTTACTCAAGCAACTCTGAAGCTTACCACCTGACAATAAAGAGGGATTTAACAAATATTATGATAAAAACCATGCATGGTGTATATAATGTGACCACTGTCTAAGCTGAATCAGTGACCATTTATCTCTAAAAACTCATATTGATTTTTTTTTGTTATTATCTTGATTAGAATTCCTCATTGAAACAAAATTTGAAAGGGACCTGTCTTTTCTTGAACTACCTGTCAATGAATGATCATTTTTTTATGTTACTTTTACATATGTTTAGTATACCAACAAATTATTCTGTTGCTATTATTGGAATAATGGTTAAAGATAAAGACCAGTTAGGGTCATGCGATTGCATTGTGAAAGAAACGATGTGGAATCGATCAGAAATGGTTGATTGGTATTGGTGTGTACTGCAAGGTTCTGAAATCATCAAAATGATAAGAAATTTGGCTCAGTCTTGGAATTACTTCATCAAGGTCATTTTTTTTCTATTGTTCAGTACTGTTTTTTCCCAATATTTCTTATCAACTAAATTTTGTTCTACATAATACTGAATTTACTTTGTTTATATTATATTTGACTGTATTATATTATGTCTGTTTATATTTTGTTTGTTTTGAAACGGAAATAAAATCTGAATCTGAATCTGAAGTTACAAGCACTGTACACAGAAAGATGTATATGGGACTACGCACACGTGCACGACATGTGCGTTTATCTCTCACATGCCAATAGATAAACTAATTTACCAAATATATCAATAAGTAGGCAGTTCCCCGGCAAAAATTTTATCATCATGTATTAGTCAAAATATATTCTTTCACATGATTGGTAATAAGAGCTTCAATTTCATTTTTTGAAATTGGGGCGTTTCCAATACTGGTCTGTACCTTTAACCACACTTGGCCGTAGAAACATAAAACTTAATTTAGTTAAACATAATGAACTCATAAAAGCCATAGCCTCAATATATTAATCCGTTGCCTGCAATGACTCTTGGTTCTTGTACAGAGCCCATGGTAATGAGAACATTCAGTATTTGAAGGTTAATTACAAAATTTAATGCACAATGCAAGGGGTTATGTTACGCTATTGTGTGTGTGTGTGTGTATCATGTGCTGTCAAGTGATACACATCATTCGCCAGTAATGATCAGTGCATTAACTTTTCTTTAAAACAGGATGGCTGATCATTTGAATAACATTGGTGAACAGTGAATTCATTAGTATTACTCTATTGCTAATCTATGCATTTACCACAGATGACAACCACTTGTTATGAATTCTCTACAAGGGGGGCAAGGAGGTTAACTAAAGAAACAAATAGTCCAGGGATTGGAACTAATTCTTAGCTATGCAGGATCAGTCTACAGGTGGACAAATGAACACGGAAGGGGACAAACAGATGGTAAAATACATTACAGAAATAAAAAGATGATTTTTTTTTTTATCATTTCTTCAGGGAATCATTCCAAATTTGAAATATTACTTTGTTCCCTAAATCACATTCACATTGAATGCACACTTTTTCTAAATAAGCAATACAATTCAACTGAAATCAACTAGGACAATGGATGATGAATAAAAGAATAAGTGTTAGATACTTTACACACTCCATGTAATGCAGCAGGTTAGTAGGGAATGAAGACATTCTAGCTAGCCACCAAGATGTTGGGTTACATTTAGATATCAAAACTTAACTGTTTGACCTTGTTTCATCAAATGTAAATTCCATATCGTAAAGAAATATTCCCAGCTTACGTCCGTAGCTTTTCTTTGCCCTCTTCCGACTCAGCATGTTGTTGGGCCCACCAAATTCCTTTGCATTGGTGGCGCCGGCCGTTGCAGCGGCAAACGCCACTGCAGCGGAAGAGCAGCTTGACCTGCGGGTAGACATACGGGAGGAGGTGACCACTACACCGGCTGAGACAGTGGTGTTAGGGGGAGAACTGCTAAACTGGAAGAAGTTATTGCCAGCAGGTGATCGGTGGGGTGATGTTGGAGGAATGGGGATGGGATCTAAGTAGAAAAGGTGAAGGTAAAATAAAGAGGACTAGCTGTGGGTGGGTACTTGTATCACTGCAATCATCTAACATTCATTTAACATTCATGTTTTGCTTCTACTATTAAGCTCAGTTCACTTGGCCATATCATACTAAATATCTGGTGCTGTGTTACCACTGGGTGATTGGAAGTAAAGTGTTAGATAAATGTGTTAGTGTGAATAAAAAAGCTGTATTTAATCCTAAAGTGAAAAAATAGTGTTGGTAAGGTTAGCAATCATGACATAAAATCCATATGTGGTGCAAACTGTTCTTTTACTAATATCTATAAAAAAAAAACAGTGACATCATTTTGATTCTAATAACAATTTAGACGCACTTGCAAGATATTTCTACTTTTTTAAAAGTTTATATCACCAAGGAAAAGCTATGGACCTAATCAAGTAACATATCAAAGTGTCCAATGGCACAGAACATCCTCATTATTCAAATTTAGAATTCATGCATACCTTCATCAATTCATGTTGTTAAAGTTTAGAATGCACATCATGCTTATCAAAATTGTTATGTTGCATTACACTCCACTCAATAATCTCATGGATTTTGCAGAACACCAAGTCCTTGTATTTTGTTATAAAGTTAATCTCTTACTTTCAGAGTATGTGAGGGTCAAAAACTTGTCTTGCTTCAGAATAGATGAAATCACTTTGGAGAATACAAATTTTGACTGGAGTTAACATTGAGGATACAGATAAGTTTGGCTGGCCTTGTAGGGGATATCAAAATAGTGTCTGAGCTAAATAGAATATTTGTTTGTCTTGCCCTTGGAAGTGACATGGTTCGCTCTAAGAAATTATGTTCAACATCCCCAAAGGAAGAGCCAGTAAGGTTATTATCAATATTTTGTTGTTGTTGTTTTGGGTTATAGGTGTTAATCATTGAGAAGTGAATATTTACCCTCATTTAAAGCATAGTCTTGACAAACTGTTAATATACTGTGAGGCAACAACACTCTCCAAGTGGAAGGAGATTCATATATCACATCACCAGCTCTCAGTTGTGAGATAGAGACAAACATCACTCAATATTTCTTGCTATTGAGATAGAGACAAACATCACTCAATATTGCTTGCTATTGAGATAGAGACAAACATCACTCAATATTGCTTGCTATTGAGATAGAGACAAACATCACTTAATATTGCTTGCTATTAGAGCAATTTTGTCTTTCAGAAGAATAACAAGAAAAGCTGACATATCACAAATATTGCCTGTACAAAAAAGGCCATGTTAGTGTGCGTAGGGCTACAGATAAGAAAAGAGAAAAAGTTTTAGTTTCATAGTATAATGCCAAATATAGTCACTTAAGCGTCTTTTCTTCAATAAATGCATACACCCTATAACTCAATGTGCATCTATTTGCTTCAACCAATGTTGATGTGAGTGAAAGTCATAAAGTGTTGATTTTTACCTGGTTTAGCTGCCTTGACTAGAGCAGCAATGTTTGGAGCTGAATGACTCATAGATAGCATTCTCTTAGGATGTAGACGAAGGGTCTCTAGCTGATTAGGGCTAGCAGGAGGTGTAAGGGTATGAAAATAAGGCGGAGAGTCCGGAGGAGAGACATGAGGATCTGCTATGCTCATTACCACTGAACTATCCGTCTTGCTTTGAGTGTCATCAGCCACTGGGAGAAAGAGTGAAGAATTGAAAAGATTATTGTGCACATAAAAAGTAACTCATTTAATTTAAAAGATGACTAATTTAGAGAAGTATTCAATCTTTAATCAGTTAATCACACACTCTTGTATGTATGCTAACAATAGAAAAAGGGATTATTCTTCAGGAAACGTCACATAAAAACTGCATTACGATACAGGAGATTCTGATATCATATGTGATTTTAAATTGAAAATTAATGATTTTCTTCTGTTTGTCAGCTTTTCCTCAAACTTGATTAATACGCGATTTTAGATTATATGGTTATACTCGCGCAAGATTCAGTAAAGTGTTGTTTCCCTTTAAATGTCTTTTTAAAGGTGTTATCAGCAGTAGATGTCGAGTTGGTCTTGAGTTTCAAAATGACCAGCTGCCCCAAGGAGTGGTCAAACTACAAAATGACCAGCTGCCCCAAGGAGTGGTCAAACTACACAATGACCAGCTGCCTCAAGGAGTGGTCAAACTACAAAATGATCAGCTGCCCCAAGGAGTGGTCAAACTACATAATGACCAGCTGCCCCAAGGAGTGGTCAAACTACACAATGACCAGCTGCCCCAAGGAGTGGTCAAACTACAAAATGACCAGCTGCCCCAAGGAGTGGTCAAACTACACAATGACCAGCTGCCCCAAGGAGTGGTCAAACTACACAATGACCAGCTGCCCCAAGGAGTGGTCAAACTACAAAATGACCAGCTGCCCCAAGGAGTGGTCAAACTACACAATGACCAGCTGCCCCAAGGAGTGGTCAAACTACAAAATGACCAGCTGCCCCAAGGAGTGGTCAAACTACCCAATGACCAGCTGCCCCAAGGAGTGGTCAAACTACAAAATGACCAGCTGCCCCAAGGAGTGGTCAAACTACAAAATGACCAGCTGCCCCAAGGAGTGGTCAAACTACAAAATGACCAGCTGCCCCAAGGAGTGGTCAAACTACAAAATGACCAGCTGCCCCAAGGAGTGGTCAAACTACAAAATGACCAGCTGCCCCAAGGAGTGGTCAAACAAATACAGATGCAAACATTGCCTTAATTTCTATAGGAAATAAGAAATGAAATTGATTTAGTAAAGCAATGCATCTAAGTGCAATTTTTAAGTACCGTAATCAATTTATCTACTTGAGTACATAAACAGTGAAAGCCTATACACTTCTATAACAGGGTGTTACACAATGAGATACCTTTCTTGAAGCTTCTCCTGAATGGATGTGCTCTGAGAGTTGTATTAGCCTCAAAGACTCTCCCTCCACTACCACCACTACTTCCTCCATCAGTCTCCATCTCCTCATGATATGGTTTGGTCATTGTCACCTTGATGTTAGCTCCTGCTCCAGGGTGGTTGCTGGTACTGGGTCGACGATTGATGAATCCTCTGGAAGGACTAGCCGGAGGAGGGCTGTTCTCATACTGATTACCATGGGAGTGATGTGGGTCACCATGGTGACTAGGGGATGGAGGAGGATGTGGATGTACACTACATTGAAAATGGGAGACGGAGAAGAAAGAATGTATTTTTTTTTTAAAGTACAATATTTATGCACATTTTATGAATTAAACCTCAAATGGAAAAGCTTAACTCGACAGTAGTTAATTCTATCTTATATTTCAATAATGTTCTGGAAGAATTTTAAAGTGTAAACAAATTAGATTCCCTCTCATGTTGCCCACTTACTTCAACTGACCCTCCACTGTATCTGGATTCCTGTAGACCCTCTCCAGTGTAGAGACTATGGTCTCCCAGTCTGTGAATACCCTGAATGTTAGTAAGAAGGTATTGAGAAAGTCTATACTGAGGAAGCGAAGGTCTGTCAACCGCTCCAGAAGTCTCTCTAGGCTGGCATAACGGATCTGAGGTACCTTGCAGGAGTTGAGAATCTTACTGAACCGAATGTCATGGTCATCCTTGAAGAGACGAGTGTCCGATCTATCAAAAGAAGATAAGATCCCAACAGTTATTAAACAGACATGGTGGTCATTAAGCAATGCCTGCATATGGTCATATACTTTCCTCTAAATTAGTATATTCATGTACTTTTACAATTATTTTTACAATAATTATTCCCTTAGACTGTATGCTGCTAGACAAATACAAATTTATTTTACACTTATGACATTTTCTAACTGATTGTTCTTGTCATTCTCAACTATTTTCTATTAAAAAACATTCTTCTATGTTTAATCAATTATGCAAGGAGAAACTAGCTGAGGATCACAGTAACAAATATTAATTCCCTTTTTCCCTCTAACTCTTCCTCTTCTCTGTATTTTTAAATATAGACTTTAAGAATCATTATTTTAACATGCAGGTATACTTTAATCAAGGAAATCACCAGCTTCTATTCATACAACACGTTTTACTACAATTCTTTTTCCTGTAAACTTGAAATGTGTAAAGATTGGGAAAGATTGTAACATTGCAACTTCTCAATTTTGTTCTATTTATTGGCAAAATATAGACAATCCTTCAATTTTTATTTCTGTTATTAATTTAATTTTCATATCCATCTAAATATTGATTGATATAAGTCACTCCATGCAGGTTTTGCGGTGATAATCACATGTTAAATGTATACATCAAAATGCTAAATGTTATACAGAGGTAGTGAATATAATATGCACACATAATAAAGATAAAAATATATTACTTTACTGACATGATTAAAAACCTATTTCAGAGATCAGCAATAAATTCCTTTCCTCTCTTTATACTCTACTGGTTAGTGATATGATTATTACGTTATTATACATAAATATATTTCTATTTTTCTTCATAAAAGATATAAAAGATATATGTAATTTTAATCATGCCAGTATACAAATAAACCTGTACACATTTTTTTTTTATAGAATACTATACACATGTATTGTATATACATATAAATTACATGCAATAGCTCCCTATAAATGCTACTAATACAGATAATACCCCTGGAGAAAAGTAATAAATACAGCCTATTTACTAGTCACCCAAAAAGAGAAAGAATTAATTCCACAAAAAATACTACAGCATGCATGCAATTTAGTTTGCTTTCTATAAGAAATAGAACATTGGAATTACAATAAAATATAATCTTGTAATATATTCCTTTCAATTGTAATCTTGATCAAGGCAGATTAAAATAAACAAGTAAGTCACTATGTTAACTAGTATTATCTCTCTCTTCAAAATTATTGTAATGATGTGTATATCAATTAAAATCACAATTATTTTGAATGTTCTTAACTATTCCTTGCATTACTATTATTTAATTCATTTCTTGAAATTAAATGATCACTTAATATCTTTAACTAAAATACAAAGTAAAAATGAGCATTTCTTGACCATCCAAAGAAATAAACTCCTGATACATTATAAAAAGATTAGTAGTATTGACCATAGAGGTAAGAATTATATGATATTTGATATATAATATAGTTCTTATGTTCTGAAGTAATTGTTTCCATCTTTGCTGTTTCATATACATAGGCCAACTTATTTCTTTACTTTAAAATATTCCCTTAGAAGCTTGAATAAATGAAAGAAACCACCAAACACCTAAAACCAAAACCTTTAGTGAAAAGAAGCCTTTATCTACAACCGAAAGAGCTACTACATCCCCTACATATACACCATATAAAGAATAGTATGATTTTAATAGCTGGGAGTTGGAATACCTATATGGTGTAGCGCATAAACAGCTAACCATGCTTGAACATACTTTCCACATACTGCCATGTCAGGTAGCAGAAAAAAGGCCAAAAATAATTCAAACCATTAAGATATTGTAAATACATCATTCTGAAATCATAATCAGCACATTTATTACAAATTAATCTTTACTCAGATTCTCCTTTCAAAGAAAAACAATTTATTTTGCTGAAGCCTAACATCCATTGAAGACAAAGAAGGGGGAAAATAGAAATCTACATATAATGTCACTGCCTGGATAATGCTATAAATGTTACAATTATTAGACATTGTTATGAAGTTCTGCTTGTTGATAAATCATTTAGAAAAAATATTCTTAAGAATTAGAACGGATGGAAAACATGAGACCCAGATTATACATGTATATGTATCTAAAAAAATTGAGCTTCTATATACATAATATTTAACAATCTAGATTTTAATCTTGATCTTAACAGGAGATTGTTACCCCCAAATCCCCTTTAATTTTCTCTGTATTCGGATAAATATATACTGAATTGAGTACCGAGAATTAGTTTGTCTCCATGACAGTCATTTGTCCAAATAAAACTTTGTTGAATATAGAACAGATCTAGAGATTAATTTTAAGGTAAATATAATTTAGAATGATGTTGTGTTGCTATGTCAGGACTTACTTGATACACTGAGGGAGATGAACTGAAGATCCACTATCCTCTAATGAGCTGTCGAGCAGACCATTGTAATGTAAGTTGTCAATGCACTGTATCAAAGGAACCAAAAAGGTCTGAATTATAAATCACAATCTCTACCTGCTTTAGCTGGCTAATGAAAATAACGGTGGACTGACATGACCTTTGTTACACTTGGAGTCTTTATGTACATCTACATCATACTGGTAAAATAATGTTATAATCCAGGGTTGCAATCCATACTGAAATAAAGAGTTTATACAGAGAAACAAAAAAATATTCCCTAAGTGATAGAGAGTGATACATAATATGGGAAAGAGGCTTAAGTTATCACCTGACTGATATCACTAGTCCAAGCAGCTTTCTCCTGTGGTGTAGATGCTACCAATGTGATGACGAGGGGTGGTCCACTCTTTGAGTCAACTATGAGCTTGAAGTCTAGGTTATCATGATCACTACTCTGATTAGAGGGTGATGGTACACCTACACGATAAAAACAAACGTCACATCAAAGCCATCTCACTCATATCTTATATTTGTTCATGTACAAATTTGAAATTGTTTGATATATTTTAACACCTGACAAACGTTGTGATCTTTTGATCCCTTGTTCCCCATACATTGCGAGACGAGCGAATGTCACTAGCAATATTATTTTCGATACTATATCCGCAATGAGTAATATATTTAGCATTAATAATTATTTCTTTGACAAAACAGGAATTCTATGGATCTGCATCATGATTCAAACTGGACTGAAAAAATAGGAATTTAATTTGACCACACTGTGTACTGCATCTATAGGCAGGAGCGTTTACAGAGATTAATGCAAGCTGAATAAGGTTTACTTGTTACATCTTTGCACATTACATTATTTCATAACTGACATTCATTTAATGTTAACATACATATTTGCATATATTTACACCTCAAAATATAGTATTTCATATTGAGTTTTATCCATACTCACCATCATCATCAAAGGGATCAAAGTCTTCAACAATAGTTGAATCAATCAGAGGAATCTTGCCTCCAACCTTAACACATCAAATAAAATAAAAGAGAATTAATTTGCATTAAAAAATATAAAAATACTTTTTTGACAACAGTTAGTTCCATTATTGTCTTTCATACCTGTCAATCTCCTTAAATATTCATGATTAAAGTAAATATACAATGAATACAATAGATTTATAAACCAATTTTTAACAAATCATTCTTATTTTCATGGGAGTGATTACTTTTGTTTGTACTGGCCAAATACCAGACCAAATACAGTCACATTTTGTTTTAAAAAAGACCCTTTTGAGGCAGTATAGATGGACAAACCATGTAAAGGGGTTATGACTGGTTTGTGGTTTACCCCAGGGTTACATGTTTGTACCCACCTTGGCCAGATGTAGCTTTCCACCTGATGTCCTAGAGGTAATAAGTAGATGTTTAGTGAAGAGGAAACACTGCCTGACACCCTCTTTCCGACTCTCCACCTTGCCTCCTAGGGACCCCAATCTGCTTCTACTCTGTCTTGATCTCTCATGGGTTACCTGGATTAAGTTACCTGCATGCATAAAAATACTCATCAATCCTACTACCTTTAGAATTTGGTGTATCAATGCTGACTTTAGTTTACAAACTAATTTCCTTTCATGCTTTTCATTGTCGCTCTATCAACAGAAAGAATAAAAATATTGATCTGGCATATTTACTGTCTGCTGAGTGCCTAAGTGTTAGCTCTGGGTTAAAAGACAATGGCCTTCAGACTCAGCAGTATAAATCGATAAACTCATAATAAATGGAAAGTAACCATGACCCTGGTAAGAAACTTGTTTATAATAGCTGACTGATATGAAAGGGCATGTCAAATGACTAAAAGTGGTAAAAGTGCACAAATGCAAATCATCTGCTTTGTGAGAAAATGATTTTATGGCACTCATCAGATGAAATGGGAAGTTGAGGAAAGGATAAAATACCAAAGTCATAAGCATTTAAATAAGTGTTTCAAGTTTCTCATATATTGATAGATAACAGCAATTGTCAATTTTGTCTTCATCATTTCTGATTAAAGAAAGATAAACATATGAACATATACATATATGTATGTAGAAGAGGAATCATAACAAGTTTAATATTTCACTCCTTTTGAAATGCTGTATCACCTTGTCTAACAAACATCTGCTGGACATCAAGAAGAAGATCACATCCTTCTACTATCATCCTCTCAATCGACAGGTTCCGTCGGATGCTCTCTGTCTCAGATACCTCATCATGCATTACCTAGGCAACCAAACAGGAGAATAGATACAGCATAAGTCTTATGATTCTACAATGATGCCCCATTTGCTACTAATAACACATATACTTACAAAAGACCTCAAAATATATATTTTTAATGATCTGTAAGCATAACATTTAAGAGACAGAAAAAAAGTTATACTCTTCTAATTTGGACATTTATTCATGAAACAAACTGGTTTCCACAACAACAAAGTGAGGTTTAGGAGTGTTTTCTTACCCTAGATAACTCTTCCAGTTTAAGTTTGGCATACTCCAAGCTCTTCCTCTCCACATGGTCATGAGGTGTGTGTGCTAGCAGCTCATGTAGTGAGATAATGTACCTGGGCACCTACACCAAAATACAAGATAGATATAGTATGAGATGTGTGTCATCATGGTCAATTTCTAAATAATATGAAAAATAGGCTCAAAAGACCTCATCATTGGAGTCTTTGTATTCTGGTAATGCTTCATATTTTCTTCCCGCTCTTATTCTCTTTCCCTCTATAATACAGGTGATTATTTTCTTTTCAGCCCAGACTTTAACAAAGTCTCATTTGAATTATAAATGATATTCAAGTGAAATAACAGTATGTCAGAATAGCCATACCAGCTTGCATTCTGATTGGTCACTGTTTCATGCATCATGCACCTGCTCCCTGCCATATGGTTGGCCCGCTACGAGCTGGTATGTTTTGGAAATAATTCTTTAGACATGATTTTGTTTCAGTTAAATTATATGTTTTCATATATAACTTAGTAAGACTAGAAAGATAATTGTTTGAGCTTTAAAATGATACAGAAACAGTGATAATTGGTCCCCAAATGTGATCAACTTAACCCAGTCATGCTTTGGACCTAAGTTGAAAAAAAGCAAGCGTAGATATCACAGGCACAACAGGTTAATCCTGGGTCCAGACGTATTGATAACTACATGTGCAACACTAAAACCTTTCAGTATCTCTTAATAGTGGAGATACCAAGTTCAAGTCTGTTGCATTAATTAAAAAGGCTGGTTGACATATGTCTCAAGGCCTACTGTCTTTGCAGCTCCACTCCTAGTATACTAGTGCACAAACTGCCTCACCAAATTAAAATATGGTATTGTAATTGCATGTGAACTCTAATTCCCTGTGAGTCTACATACTACAAAATGCTTTTAAACAGGAGTTTTGGATGGAGCGCATGTTCCCAGCTAAAGTAGATCATTGGCAAACATCAGCCGGAGTCTGAGCAAACACAGCTCTACTGCTGGCTGGCTGGCTGGCTGGCTGGCTGGCTGGCAGTCATCAGGACCCGGCCAGGCAAGAGGTGAATTATTACACCGTGTTCTGTGTGCGGTTGCCATGACAATTTGTGTCCCTGTGAACCAATCATTATCATACGCCATCGGTCTTCTTGTCACTCGGCTACTCAAGACTAAAGTTCAAAGCAGGAATTGAATGACCCCAAAGTGAACTTAAACTGGCTCTGATGCCTGGTCAATCTGAAGTAGGACCCTTTAAGTGAATTAGAAGGGGCTGTGATATATGTATACAAGTAGAAATAAGGAACCATTAAGCGGATTGAAATTGTTATGATGTTCAATTAAAAGTAGGAATAAGAACCTGAAGTGGTTCTGCATGATTTTAAATTTACTTTAGGAATAAGATTGCTCAGTGGTTTTGAAGTGGATGTGAATTGTGATTCTAAGGAGGAACAAGGACCCACTAAGTGAATACTTAGTGGATGATTTTTTATTTGTTATACAATCACTGGATATATACAACGCATAACATTTTAGTTTTTTAAATATAATTGAATATTAAAAAATATAGATTTACATCTTCAGCTGTCTATATCACCTGATGTAAAAGCTCCAACATATATAACTATACTTTACTTGTATTATGCAATAAACTGGCAATATCTTAATGGTGCAGAGTATGAGTATTAAACTGAATGAGTTGTCTGTTTCTAAAGGCCACTTCTTCCTTGTTTGCTGTATGATATTGTCAGCCCCCTTGATTATAAATGCCAAGGAATCTGTACGCCCATGCTTTATCTGTATGATGCTGATTACTTTTGGCACTCACAATAACCATCAAAGCCAAGACAAAGTGTTTCCTTCCATCTCTTCATTGAACATGTTTCATCAACTGCCTTAATTAATCATCCTAGCTACTTCAATATCTAAATTACCAACTCACAGGAAGAGATAGAAACTGGTTTGACTTTGATTAAATACAATACAATATGCTCTAGATTTGGATAGTTCTAATAAACTCTGTTAGTATATACAAAGCTACAGGGAATGATAATTGACTTGGTTCAAAGCTAATAAATTGATAGTAAATCTTTCTAAAACAAACTTTTGTATATTTCACAATAAGAGTAAAAATGTTTCCAATGTACTAGATAAGGTAACTTTAAATATTGATACTACATCTATATCAAAATTAAATGTTGTAAATTTCCTTGGAGTATTCGTAGATAACAACCTTCGTTGGGATTCCCACATCGATAATGTTATAAGCAAGGTATCAAAATCTATTGGTGTTTTATATAAATTAAAATTTCATGTACCATTTCCCATTTTATGCACTTTGTACAACTCACTTATATTACCTTATCTTACATATTGTATAAGTATTTGGGGAAATTCGTGTCATGGAAAAATTAATACCCTCTTCAAATTACAAAAGAAGGCTCTACGTATTTGTACAGGTAGTGATTATTATGCCCACTCTGCTCCGTTATTTCTTCGTTTAAAAACCCTAAATGTTTTTGATTTGTTCAAATACCATATTGCACTAATTGGTTTTTATTTTTTTCAAAATATACTTCCAAAAAGAATATCCTCCATATTTTCGATCAATAACCAAATTCATACTCACAATACTCGGCTTTGTAACACGTTTCATTTATGGAAAGTAAAAAGTTCATTTTCTAAAAAATCAGTAAGAAATACTTTGCCAAACATATGGAACACTCTTCCTCAAGTCCTCCGCTTTTATAAAAACAGTTCAATATTTAAAACAAAAATGAAACAGACCTTTTATTCTGAGTACCGTTAAATTTACCTTCCAAACCTTTTTGCCCCCCCCCCCCCGCCTCCAATTTTAGATTATTTCATACATATGTTTGTAGTTTTTTGTCTTTATATTGTATTTATTGCTGTATTTTGTGTTTATCGCTATATTTTGTGATATCTCGAACTCATATATGCTCAATAATATAAATAATATAAATTATAATATTCGGGGAACTTTTTATACAAAGCCACCATGGGCCTTTCCTATGTTCTCCAATTTCATTTTAAACTATTGTAATAACTGACCATTCCTTGTATGTATTTATACTTGTATGTTTATTTGCATTTGCTGTGTTTTTTATGGAAATGAAATAAATAAACGAACTTGAACTTGAACTTGAACTATTGGGGGGGGGGGGGGCTAACATGACATAATTATATGAGGTTCATTATGGATATTTTGAGAAATAAAATCAATAACTGGCTTGTACTTTTTAATTTTATGTGCTCTGTGTTTGCCAATTTTGCCATTCTTGTTCTCTTATTTTTCTTCTTTCATTCAAATTACATTGGGTTGGATTGCTCCTTCACATTAATGTACAATAATAAACACTAATAGCCAGACAAAACAAGATTTTATCCAATATTCTGAAATATGATGTCCATAGCATACATGTAATGGAGATACTTGTAGACTAAATTATTAAAAACCTGATAGTGCTAAAACAGATCAACTGGAGAGAATGCAGCCACCCTATAAGAGGGGATATGTGAGAAGTTCATACTCTTCATCAATTCACCACTTTTAGGTGACTACATCTGCCTGCGGATCAGAAAGGTGTTACTTGTTCATCCCTTTACTGATACTGAATACTAAATAATACTGATATCAACCAATTATAATAGTAATTACTGTTTTTGGAGCATGGGAGAATAAGATTTGGAACATGGTACAAACCCTATACACACAAACTAACTTTTAAATTGACATATGTGATTGTGATTAGGTACCACAGCTAGACAGTACTATAGTCTAGTTCTGACCAGGGCAATTCAAAAGCTGTACCGAATGCTAAACTCTTCCACAGTCATAGCCAATTGTAATTTTAGCTAAAGTGATTTAAGGTTTCCAAATTAACCCTGCAAACTCATGATGAAAAACTGCATAATCATATTTTCATATGAGTCTACGCATTTTGATATTCAATATCTTCCCAGAAATTTGCTACAAAATATTGTTTTAATCATATCCTAAAGTGGTTTTTAACTTGTACTTTTCACCTGTCTTCACTGTGTACACACATACACACAGGCTGATTGAAGCACTCACTCTCACACACATGCATACATACACCATCCGATCTGCAGAGAGATTTAGTAGGGATAGGGGAAGGGCCGGATTCTATAGGTATCCTTCACTTGTCGTATGACTTCCACTCTTGACGATTCATGCGCTAGGTTATTAATCACAGCGACACTTGGTTAGCCATATCGGGTAAGACAGATATACGACCAGCCACCTGCACAACTGCATTTATAAAGCCCAGTTCAGAAAGGATGCAGTAATCCGCTTAGAAAACCAGCATCGACGATGTAATTAGATGCAAATAGTAGAGTGCCCTGCAAATATCTTAGAAGACACTTTCAGTGCAAATGCATGAGGGTATTGCTGCCGACAGCCATCTTTTACCTCTCCCAAATAAGTAAAATAAAATAATGAAAAATTAAAAATAGTGCTTCTTGCCAGGTTTTGCCCATGGCATTTCCTTTTTTGGCAGTTTCTTTGAGCCACTTTGAGGTGGTTCAATGCATCATATCTGGATAGGGTTCAAGGGTCGGAGAAAGCTATTTTGATGACACTCATTTCGAGTGTGTCATTATCATCTTTCTATCCAACTGACAGGAATAAATATATTTGCTCACCAATGAAGAGAATATCTGGGATTATACATTTTGTTCTTCAATTGATGTAACTACTCTTTTCTTAAATATTCAGAAAAAGTTGTGATTATAGGCATTAATATTCAGCTATAATTTAAATAATTGTATTAACTTTGTAAATGGTATTTGGTACCATACCAACATCTCATTTATCATTCCAGTAATTGTATTGTATCTAAAATCGTTTGAATATTAACTTGTTTAAATTGGATATTGTAAATATTATAATTGCAATCACTTCTCTATGGAATAAGGACAATTTTAGAGTTTGTTTATGATAATATATTTGATAATTTGATGAATAGATGTAAACAACCCTATGTTGTCATCAGGAAGTAAATGATATAGCTGATTAAAGTTATGATAAAGGGATTGGAACTGGTAATATAAATTCT